AAGTTCCAGGAGTGTGTTTAAGATGCTTTTACTGCTTTGCCTTGAGTTCTTTGCTGTAATATTGTACATGCATTTTAGAGGAACTTAAAAGAATCAGAATAAGAAAAAAGTTTCTGTCTTTCTCACTGTATTCCATTAATCTAACATATATCTAAGGTTCATTTAATTTAAAGAGTCATTAAGAGTAAATGATTCAGAATTGCATTTGTGATGCATGCTTTTAGGCTCACTCTTTGGAAGTTGGGGGTTGGAGTCAGAATTTATACCATTCCTTGCAGAAGTATTCATCTTCTTTGACTTTTCCACATTTTGTTGTGTTACAACCTGGAATTGAAATGGATTTAATTGGCATTGTTTCCATTTGATGTACACAAGATACTCAACTTAGTGAAGTGCAAGGAGAAAAGCAAATTCAAACCAGAATCGTTTGAAGTGGGTTTGCAAACCATTATTTGAGCTAAATATTGTGATATCTGAATTGTCAAACAATAGTTATGGTCACCACTGCACTTCTAAAAGCCAGTACAGCATGGCAAAAGGAATTAACTTAGGAACTTAAAAGCAAAAATGAACACACAGCCCTAAACTGTGCATTATGTGGGCTCTACAAGAAGAATGGGAAGGAGATTATTAAGGTTCAACAGGCAGTGTAGCGAATTTGCTTGGTGTCCAAAAACCTGAATAATGTCTTGTAACCCTGCCAAAGCCTTACGGCCTTCAGCTTGGTAGGAAGGGCACCAGAGCAAATTGCAGTGAAGCTACCTTCTCTAGGCCATCTGTAGGTGGGGCTGCTTTTGCTGTGTGAACAAAACTATTTAACTTACTGAAGCAGCTTTCCTCCACCCATCTCCTAGGAAGCAGACAAACTATAAAATCCATGGCAAGAGGTGCTAGGGAGAGGAATTGTTATGTTGCTCACCGTGGCAATTTTGGAAGCCCATTAAATATTCCCCAGCCTATTCTGAGTACCAGTGCAGGCACACAAAAAAGAGTGCAAGCTTCTTCACTACTTTGTATTCTGCATCCATATTTCATGATTGTATTTGATACGTTGTATATCATCTTTGACACAGGGCTTCCTGTCTTTATTAGTATCCTCAAATCTAAAGTGAGGTGTCTTGGCTAGACTAGGTCTTTGGGGTTAAAAGACTGTGTATGGGTATTGTGTGTTTGCAAGTGCAAAATGAATTTTGCGCTTCCAATTTATGGTTAGCGGAAAGCACATTGGCATGATGTTTGATCTGAGTCTCAGTGAAATGCCTTGGAGTTTTCAAAAAGCTAAGTAATATGTAATAAACATTAAATTTTTCTGATTACCTGTAAATATATGTTTAGGGTTAAGAATAAATGAAAGGAGAATTGTGAAGTTAGTTTTAAAAATAAAATGATGGAATCTCAGCCAATTAGGTTATTCTGTGTTAGCTATGCAATTTAGGTCAGATAAAGTAGAGAATATTTGTTCCAATTTGAAGTAGGTTCTCTTTAATTTCCATTAAACAGGGAAATTAGTAGGAAAAATAAAAACAGTTAACTAATCACAGAGAGATCTTAGTTGATTGTTTTTCCTTTTAACTTATAATGTTATGTTTATTTGATATATGAAGCATACTAATAGTTACAGTGAAAATAATTCATTTTCCTTATTTGTATGAATGAACTTTCTGTTTAATTCTCTCCACACAATGAGTTTGTGCTTTAAATATTTTGTCTGACAGAAAAGAAGAAAGTGACAGTGGGACTGTTTACATACCATGCTGCAGCTCATCAGAGCTTATTTAAGCCATGCCAAACTACTTAATCGCCAGCCCCCAAGTATGGGTTGGGTTGGGTTGGGTTGGGTTGGGTTGGGTTGTACAAACCCAGGCAGTCAGAGATGTTCAGCCTTTGTCCATTGTTATTTCTCTCCAGTAGCTACTATTAAGAGATATACTGTGGACAGAAAACCTGACTTGCTTGTTCACACCAACTCCACATGCTTCTGGGTTGGCATTAGTTCTGCACCATTGTATGTCATGCAACCTTTGGTATTTAATGATACACCGCCTCTGAATATAAAGGTTCCGGTTAGCTACTGAACAGTAAAAGTACACTTAACAGTGAAACCCCCACAGTCAGAGTGGCAATGATGGATGTAATGCTGAACCATAAGTGCTGTGTGGCCCTCTCCTCTCCTCTCCTCTCCTCTCCTCACACAGTTACAAGGAGGAGATTGGCAAGCTTCTGCAGGGTATCTTTTCATCTGAATTGGGAGACATTGTTTGGTTAGTTTTAACTATACAGTTGGGTATTCTAAATGTAGTTAGTACCTGATTCTTTAGAAGTTCAAGGAATAGCAACCAGCTATCTTACAGGATGCTGTGGAGCAGATGCTATCTCTTATGCCCCCTTCACTTTTTCATTCTGATGCAGTTCATGATGATTTCTTACAGTCATGGAGACCGGAGAAAGGGGTTGATCAGCTTTCCCCCTGTATTCAGAATGTTTCTGTTACTTGATTTTCTCTAACTTTCCTATGGGTGTTTATGTTCTCTTAATTACTGTGTGGCATTTGGTGAATCATCTGAAGAAAATCACATACTTGCATCTTTATTCCCTGTTGTTTGCATACTTCTGTTGTGAGATGAGTCTTTATATCTAACACCTCTCAGGGTTTCATTTCCACCAACCAGCTGAAAACAAGACAGGTTGTTCTAACCCTGTATATTTAGGAACCCAGGTGACTGTGGTTTACAACATTGGTTGGAAAAAACAAAACAAAATAGCAAGATTATACCAGTCACTTTCTCTCTTGTTGTTTGAGTGAGACATTAAAGGTGAACATTGGTTAAAAGTCTGCCGTTGGCTGGGTGTATTAAAAGAAAAAACCCACATACTGCTTAAAAAAAAACAGACAGTTCTATCACAATGCATTGGTGTGTGCACATCTGTAGCTTGGTGGCACATCATGTGAAAAACCACACATCTCTGCCTAACTGAAAAGAAATAGTAGTAAACAGTAGTAAGCAGAACAGTATGACGCAAATCCTTTTTAAAAAAACTGAACTGTAATTACTGTAGTAATATGAGCATGTAACTTGTCTGTACATTATCAGAACAAGCAGTTGTGAGTTTTATATTAACTATAGCTTCCTAAGATAACAGCCCTTGTCTTTCTTCCTAACAGGCCTTATTTTTCCTCAAGGCTCTTAAATTTGTTTTGCTTTACGTATGTTAACCAAGTTACAAGCAAACTACTGCCTCCACCTTTAACAAACATGCTTATCTTTATTTTAGAATTTTTCTGTTGCAGAAGTAATTAATATAAAGCTATTTGTCCATCCCCAACAGTTTTTGTTTCAACTAGGTAGAAGTACATAGTCATCTTTTGTTTGCTGTGTTCTCAATCATTCTCATTCAGAGTAGACTAATGCATTTTATTACTGCCTGAAATGTTTTATCCGATAGAGCACCATCCAATGTGGCTTTCTGGAACCATCCAAGCTCAGAGAATTAGGGGTGCCCAGTGGAAGGTGGGAGTTGTGCAGAGGCCAGGATTGCCGCCACGCTCCCCTATCCTTCCAAAACATTTAGATAGTTGATTGCAGCCATCAGTGTTTTCCCCCTACTCATGGAGAGCACCTGCGGCCCTGTCAGTATTCTTCCAAGGATGGTGGTGCCTCACTCCTCCCATTTCTGTTCCCTAGAACAACCCACCCCCCACTGGCTCCAAAGATGGTCTTCCATCTTCAGAGTGCAGCCAGTGCAAAAGGAATCCTGGTGGTTGCAAGGACCATGGGAGGACTCTCTGAGGTCTTGAGTCCCAGCTCCAAGCTATCCTATGCCTCCTTCCCCACAGCAGTGTTGGAAGCCATAGAAACACATCATTCTTTTCATCTGGAGTTTCTTAAAAAATACTTTTATAGCTTTATATCAATTTCTGATGAGTGTAACAACTGCTTGGGAGTAGATTCAGTCATTGTTTGTTTGCAAAACGTTACAATGATATTCTTCAGAATATGGTTGTCTCTCTAAAACTGGGTGAGCAACTTGCTAGCCATCCAGTTCTTGAACTGTAATTGCTTTCATCTCACCATTTGACTTCTGTAACGCGCTCTACGTGGGGCTGCCCTTGAAGATGGTCCGGATACTTCAATTGGTTCAAAATAGAGCTGCCAGGCTGCTGACGGGGACTGGGCGTTATGTTCACATGACTCCAGTCCTCCGTCAGCTTCACTGGCTCCCCATTGAAGTCTGGGCCCAATTCAAGGTGTTGGTGATTACCTATAAAGCCCTAAACGGCTTGGGTCCTGGTTACCTGAAGGACCGCTTACATCCATATATGCCCACCCACCCCTTGAGATCAGCAGGCGAGGCCCTTCTCCAGGAACCCTCCATGAAGGATACTAGGAGGGTAAGTACCCGGAGAAGGGCTTTCTCTGCAGTGGCGCCCAATCCATGGAATGCGCTCCCCAGAGAGGTCCGCCTGGCGCCATCGTTGTTTTTCGGCGCCAGGCAAAGACCTTTTTATTCAAACGTCATTTTAATTGTTAATATTATTTATTGATTTTACATCTTTGACCAGGACGGCTCCAATTACATTGTTTTTATATTGTTATTATGTTGTTATTTATTGTTGTGAGCCGCCCCGAGGCTTCGGCGAGGGGGGCGGCATAGAAGCTTCCCAAATAAATAAATAAATATGCTAGCTAGGACTGTTGAAAGTTAGTCCAGCAAAATTAGTCACAAATTACCCACACTTGCCTTAAAGTTTATCTAAGTGTTGTACCTGTATGTCTTTGTACAGCATTCACAATAATGGATCCTTTTTCTTCAATGATAAATGCAGATTTTATTCTTGTTATTGCTGCTTTTGTTCAATGCTGGTCTGAAAGTTTCCTTGTGCAGACCCTTGGGTAATAAAGAAAGAATAATATAAGGATTTGCTTTGTCCTGGGCAAAACAAACAGTACTAGCAAGGGAAATTAAGGTCCAAATGTTAATGCAGTATCTTCACTTTACAGACCTGTACTAGCCAAGCTGTCTTTCGCCTCCAGTCTGGTATTTGCCAGCTTTTTCGAGAAACACTCATTCACAAGGGGTTTGTGGAAATTCAAACTCCAAAGATAATTTCTGGTATGTACTTCTTGTTTATAATGGTTTCAGATAACTTCACAGTTTGGAAGCTGTAAACATGGAGAAAGAGGGGAGGATCTTACTACTGTGGCGGAGAACATTTAAGAATTTCACACTGAAATGTTCTTTTATTGTAATGCCACTGTCTTCCATGAAACAGTATTCATAACAGTAATTATGGGACTACAAGTCCCATAATTCCCAGACTGCATCACCTGTTTTAAAAAGACAGTTTGCTCTCTTCTTTAAAGTACTCTGTGGCTAGAAACTCTGTCCACCTAAGCGTAGTCTTTGCTTAGCTTCTTGGGTTGCAGTTTTCATCTTTTAAACCATAGTAAATATATCAAGCAAACTGTGTTATACAATTATAGCTCATGTGCCAGTGATACCTGCAGATGGGCAGGCTGCTGCTTCACAGAGCTACCAGCCATTTGATGCTGAAAGCCCCTGTCTGGGGAGGAGTATAAAATATGGATTACAACACCCAATCTCTCTGCAATTGCTCCCTTCTCCCATAAAGCCCCATTGGAATGTCTCTTTTTATTTCCTTTCCTTACTGGAACAGGCATTGGAGTTCTCTCAGCTTTTAGTTGTTTTTAGTGGCACAGAAAAAAGAAACCAGCTGAGAATCAAGTTGAAGGGGCTCTTTGCTGCATTCTAATGTGGATGGCTTGGCCTGTTGGCCCAGTGCCACATAGCTGGTGATATGAGCTAAGATACAGGTCATACTGTCCAACTGGTAGATGTTGTTGAGAAGCTACATCTTTGTCTGAAAACATACTGATTGAACCATATCTGCAAAAATTTCAATGGCTCAAATCAAAAAATGAAGGCTATTTTTAAGCACCACAGATACATATGGAGAGTTTTAATATCCCATTCAAAACAGCATTAATCTTGCCCTTGCTTTTGGTTTTCAGCTGCCAGTGAAGGTGGTGCCAATGTATTTACTGTTTCCTACTTCAAAAATAATGCCTACCTTGCACAGTCCCCACAGCTTTACAAGCAGATGTGTATTTGTGCTGATTTTGACAAGGTTTTCTGCATTGGGCCAGGTAAGGGAAGGCACTTTATTTTTCATCTTCTTGCCTAATGTAACAGTCCTGTCTCCGGTGCAAGCGTCCGCTAAATATTACGGTTATGCACGCACTAAACCTTGCAGATTCTTTTCCTTTCTAATCTGCAAACCAAACAAAGGCTTCATGCAAAGGCTACTAATCCATATGGCAGTTTGACAGGGTTTGCAGGTGGAACAAATGTAATCTTCAGCTGGAATGAGAAGCAGGAGCAAAGCAAGGGTGTTCTCTAGTGGTTCTTCAAGTATCATACAGCAGTTTATGGTAAAGAAAAAGATGCCTGCAGGTGGAATGGTTAATCTGTCACTGGACTTAATGCAAGCCTACAAGCTTGGAAGTGCCAGGGGTTTATTAATGTGCACTTGCTGGAAATCAATACCAACTAAATTAGACTGTGCAAAATATTTTTATGCTCTGGTTTTTCATAATACATCAATTCAGTATTGGCAACATAGAACACACATGCTTATCTTCTCTCTCCATCCCTGTAAGTGTATTAGAGCAATGTTTTACCAAGAGCAGTGCTCCTTTTCACATGGCAAAGAAGTAGGTGCACTTCTTATCCCCTGAATCCTGTACATGATGAAATATATAAACTGGCTATTTTTGAAGCAGATAAATTTTTTAAAAAATCATTCTTTCAAATACTGCTTCTACTATAAAAGCGGTGGAACAACCTTGATAAGTGAGACTTCAGAAATACCACCACCATATTACCTGTTTGGGTACCTGAGAATTTCTTACCTGGCAGGGAACTGGAGTCCTGTTTCAGAAAAATGTAGCTGTTGTGCCTGCTCAAAATAGGTCTTTGGTGCTAGAGTATCTCCCAAAGCTAGTTTTAATCCTAGTGAAAGATTCATTTATTTCAGATGACGATGCAATTTAGAATCTCTTTTTCTCATGTAGTATTTAGAGCAGAAGACTCGAACACTCACAGACACCTGACAGAGTTTGTTGGTCTGGATATTGAAATGGCTTTTAATTACCATTATCACGAAGTGGTGGAAGAGATTGCAGACACTATGGTGCAGATATTCAAAGGACTCCAGGAAAGGTAAAAGGAGAATGCATGTTCATGTCCTTTCAGATTTTATATTGTACTACACGTAGCATCCATCTTGTTATCTAATACTTCTCTTTTCAGACTATAGAAAGGTGGCATGCATATTCCAGATCCGTCCTACGTGCCATGTTCAGCCCCATATCCCTGCCTAGAGCTAGATTACAGGCTATACCACTTGATTTTGCCTTGTGCTGTTGTGTTGAGGTTGCTTGAGTTGTGATCAGTCTGGTCTGGTTTTGTTTTGTGCTCTCCTTTATACCAGAAGCTCTTGGTTTGGACTGATCACTTTGGACAGATTTACAGAACAACTGTTAAATTTTTGGAAGCAGCTGGTAAGGCACCCAATCTATGGAATGCGCTCCCGAGAGATGGCCGCCTGGTCCTGTCGTTATTTGTTTTTTGGCACCAGGCGAAGACCTTTATATTCAAACGTTATTTTAATTGTTAATATTATTTATTTTATTCTTTGGCCAGGATGACTTAAATTTTACTGTTATACGGCTAAATTATATTGTTTTATATTATGTTATTTATTTATGATTGTGAGCCACCCGAGGCTTCGGCAAATGGGGCAGCATAGAAGTCCTATCTATCTATCTCTACATACATACATACATACATACATACATAAATGTAACATGGCTGCTTTTTGAAAGCTGGGGAATTCCCAATCAATCATTCAATAAAGTAACATGGCTGCTTTTTGAAAGCTGGGGAATTCCCAATAAATAAATAAATAAATAAAGTTACATGGCTGCTTTTTGAAAGCTGGGGAATTCCCAATGACCATTTAAATTGCGGTTAGTATTTCTGCCATGAAAACTTAGCATAGTTGCCCATTTGGGCTCAGCCTCATGTGTCATTAGTTCAAAAAACCTGGAGAATAATCAGGTTACAGCTTGGGAGTACTCCTGGACTAGGCACCTCTTCTGGATTGTCCGCTTGATGATGGCCAGGATCACATTTCATCAGTTTCCAAAAAGAAGGAACTGTAGGATATTGTCCAAACATTATCCATGTGTTAAAAATGAACTTTAGCTGTATTGGAGTTTCAGCAATCAATCAAGCTAGACAATACCCTTATTAAAGAGATGTTGCAGCATCCAGTAGACACACAGAAAAGAGCTTGTAATGGGTAAGACACACCCAAAGATCCATAGATGTGTGAGAGAGAGACACCAAAGTGGCTGTGCATTGATTAGTTATTTTGTGGTGGTACCCATAGTAGATTCTCAGGTTCTTAACTATAACTATGGATCAAAAAAAAGTTGAAGCTCTAGCTCTCTGGCCTACATAATTGATTGGTGTAATGTGCTCTGCCTGAAAATGGTAACTGAATCAAAATAACCAACTTTGGAAGATAACCTGCTCTATAAATAACAGATGCTTATAACTTCTTAAACTATGGAGGGTGTGTGTGTGTGTGTGTATGTGTGTGAGAGAGAGAGAGAGAGAGAGAACACGAGCATAGAGAGAAACTGCATATTAAAACAGCCTATTTTAAGTAAGTGCAGTTTGCTTTTTTATACTTCATTTTATTTTGTTTTTACATCGATTTACTGAAAATTAATGTTAAAATACTAAGGTTTGATTTTTCAGATAACTGTTGTTAGGCTTAACTTTGTCAGACAGTGTATGAGGAAAATATAGTGACTTTTTGATATGTGTAATATTCAAAACCAGTCATGTTATCTCAAAAATCATGCCTTTCTTGCAGAAGTAGTAGCATACAGAATTAAATGTTTCATGGTGTCAGAGTGAACCCTTGTGGCAAACAAAGGTAGTGTCTTTCTCTTCGGAGTTCCTTCTTTGTTTAAAAAAAAAAACACCTTTCATTTTCTGTGCAGGTTTCAAACTGAAATCCAAACTGTGAACAAGCAGTTTCCATGTGAGCCATTCAAGTTCTTGGAGCCAACTCTGAGGCTGGAATACCGGGAAGGCCTGGCTATGCTTCGTGAAGCTGGAGTAGAGATGGGCGATGAAGATGATCTCAGGTACATTCATGTTGCTGTTGGGAGGGATCAGTGCCACCTACTGGCATGCAGATGTAGCCTGCATATGGGCAGCATCTCATCTTGAAGGCAGCTCTCACATGCAGTTGCTGGAATCCTGCATATAAACTGTACAGGATAAACTGTGAGGATAAAAATGGGCAGGATTATGTAAGCTGTCTTGAGTTCCTTGCAAGAGGAAAAAAGGCAGGATATAATAATACTAATAATAAATACAACTATTTCTTAGCTTTATGAATGTCCACTGTTGTGGAACAGAAGAACACTTCATCAAGTTAAACCTTTTTGTAGGGAAAAGATGTCATATAAAACCCCTCCTAAAATGAGGGATCCCCGTTTCAAGTAGAACATGTGCAAACGTGTGTCTGAATAGAGGAGAACATCTAGGATGCATACGAGTGAAGTCCATAGTCATTTGGGAGCAATTATTATCCAAACTTACCAGGAAGGTCCCTAAATAAATAAGACACAATGCAAATTGGTGGCAGCTTACATTCTCTTTTCTTATCTAGGCCTTTAATTATTCATTTATTCATGTCTTGCCTTTTTTCCCTGCAAGGAATCATCTCTCTCTAAAGATACGCAATAGTTCAAGTATAAATAAATGCACTGACTCATACCCCAAAAGAAAATTTTACAACACCGTTGTACAGTATGATTTTTAGTATCATTGGCATAGCATAATTTTTATTTCAGTTATGTGAAAGATTGCAACTAGGACTTCTTAAAATGTCTGCCTTCTTGGTTCCAGTGGTATGTGGAAATGCACACCGGAAGAGAAGGAAAAGCATACAAGAAGGCACAATTCTCCACCCACCCCTCCTAGGACACACACACATTGAAGGAAGGTCAATGAACTTTCCCAATGCCAGTCTTAGGGCTCATGTACGCATTAAGCAAAATCATGAGAGATTTCTACTGGCACAGTTGCATTTCTGATTTATGGGGGAAATGATGTGTTTGAAAGTTCTCCTGAATTATAAACTAACCTAGACTAAAATTTCTGCATGAAGGGATAAGGCCAGGAAACTTTGAGCACATCCTAAAAGATTGTGTCCTATTTGCAGTCTGGGGTAGTAGAGAATATTTGATACATGATTTTGTAGAAAGCTTGGCTCATACACATTTTAACAACTAAAAGTAAGAAAAGGAGCTCTTCCTGATTATTTCTGTAACAACTCAGAGTTTTGTACCAGGAAAATGGCACCCTTTTTTCCCAGTCTACTGCTTACAAGAATATTTTCACAATACTTCATTGGAAGACTGTTCTGCTATAAGAAACTGTATACTGAATTATTATTGAAATGGGGGTATTCTGAATAGTGATGTATAGATGGATTTCTATTTCTGCTTTAGACACTTTCTTATGAACAGTTTTGAGTACAGTGTTTATGGAAAAGCAAGCATACAAAGGGAGTATTACTAAGACCATCTCTGCATAGGAGACTTCACAGTCTTGGACTCTTCTCCTTTAGACATGTGGCCAAGCATGGCCTGCCTAGTGCAAGTTTGGGTAGCATGTATGAGTAGAGCAAAACAGCCCTTCCTGATACTACAGTCAGTGCTTACTGAAGACCTTAACACATGATTTTAAGTTTCACATTCCACCAGGGGTGACCTAAAACATTAAATAGCATAAATTGATTGACACACATTATCTTCTCTGTAGGATTTGCAATTTTCCAGAGGGCAGTGCATAAAGTCTTAAGATCCATAACTATTTAGAGACATGTGCACCAAGCCACCTACTGCTTAAATGTGACCTTGAGAATCTTTATTTTCAGTACACCAAATGAAAAACTCTTGGGTCGCCTGGTGAAAGAAAAGGTAATACTTTTTTAATCTTGCTAATTCCTTAATATAACAGTAATATATCTTTTTGAACCACATTTGTTCAGGTATGTTTATCACAGAAAAGTTCTGTATATATTTGCACCATTATATTCATATGTTAAAAACTGAATGTAGTGTTTTAAATAAAGACCTTAATTGTAGTGATGCCTTAAGAACCTGTATGATACAATTGTGAATACCTTAAGCATACTGAATTTAATTGCTGGTCAATAGAGTATCTTGATTTTTTTGTTCCTAGTACAAAAGTAATTGGCAATGTGAAACTTTAATGGTCTTTTGCATGCATTTTAAAAAAACCAAAATCTTCTCTTTTAAAAAATGTCTGGTCTTCAAAATCTGGTCTTCTGCAGTATGACACGGACTTCTACATTCTTGACAAATACCCTCTGGCTGTTAGACCTTTCTATACAATGCCAGACCCAGCAAATCCCGTAAGTAAAGTTTTATATTTGTCAGAATTGTGAAAAATGCTGTAAAATACTGATGAACATTTGTATGCCACTTCCAAGGATCAATATGGAACCAACTTAGCATGCATGCCATAAACCTGTACAAGTTTACAGTTGGTGCTGATCATTCCTTTAAAGATCAATTCAGATTTTGTCCTTTAGCTTTCATCCTAAAGCCATTGCATTTTTCATAATACAGCTATAAGAAGGCGCCATGTTTTGAACTGGCAGTAGAGTACACTTGAGCGGTGTAGCCGTAGCCTGTCATGATTCTGTGCATTAATGTACTAAGGCAGTAGCTTGTTGATTCAGATGGAGCGTTTCAAGTGCCACTCCTCCCTGTTTTCTACTAACAGTATCTGGAAACTACTCCATCCTAGGCACTAATGAATCAGGAGTTCCAACTGGTCATGATATCACTATCGAGTATGAGTTATGGGAGGCCACAGTTGTATGGAACGCAGACTCCCATTTTCTCTAGGGAGGCCAAGGTGGAATGATGTGATTGCAATCAACCAGGTTATGGAAGTCACTGCCAAGGGAAGCTGTGTTGACTTCCCCTTTATTGTCCTCCTGGTAGCAGGCAGGGAGATTTTTTTCCAAGCTGGCTTTTAGCACATAAGGTCTGTTGGCTTGGGTGCTCTTTTATTCTGCAATGTTCATGTAGTTACTTGTGGTTTTTCTGTATTCTTGTTATATGAACCCATTTTAATCTTTTTTCTTTAAAAACGGGGATTGTTAACCACCTTAAGTAGCATTTTCCTGGTGGAAAGGAGGGGTACAAATCAAAAAAAATGAAGAAAAAGGGGGATGGCTTGTACTGCTCATCCTGATTCTGCTGAGAGATGCTTGCATGTGAAGGCACCCATGTCTGATTTCTTGTGATACTCTTAATTTTTATCTGAGCCTAATCTGGTCTCTCATCTGCAGGTACCAACTGTCAGTTCTATAAACCATTTAGCTGCCAGTTATTAAGATACAGCCTTTCTTTTCAGAAAACCTCCAACTCTTATGATATGTTCATGAGAGGAGAAGAGATTCTGTCTGGAGCACAGCGAGTTCATGATCCACAGTTGCTGACTGAAAGAGCCTTGCATCATGGCATTGGTAATACTTCAGCTCTTACCTACTGAATGAAAGCATCACCATATTATCTTTATTTTTTATGACTTACAAATAAATGCATGTGACTAAGATGTGTGGGGTGGGGAAGGGAAATTGTTAAAGCAGAAAAATGGAGGCCTTGAGTCTTCTATAAATATAATGACTTGGATCCAGCCTATTCCCATTGAAATCAGTGGGACCAAAGTCAGAAAGAACTTTTCACATTAATTTCAATGAGAGCTAAGTGCAGCTAATTTAGTCTGGATTCATCTCTTCTCTTGAATGTTCTGATGTTAAGGAAAATGTTGAGATCATTATAATAAGAGCCAGTATGCTGTGGTGGTTAAGAGCAAGGGAATGGGACTCAGGCAATCTGGGTTCTAGTCCCTGCTCAGCCGTGGAGCCAACTGGGTGACTTTGGGCCGGTTACAGACTCAGCCCAACCTACCTCACAGGGTTGTTGTTGTGGGGATAAGACTGAGAGTAGGAAGAGGAGAATGGTATAAGCTGCTTTGAGTTCTTGGAAAACAGTGGGATAGACATTGGATTAATCATAATAAAAATAAATACATAATAACAGCACTTACCTGCAGTATTTAACAGTGAAAGTAAAATAGCTTAATTAATATCCCAAAATTAACAATTTACTTAGACTTGGATTTGAGTAGTATAGAAATTAAATGAATGATTGAAATGAATGCGTTTTGTGGAGAGTTACCTCAGAGAGCTAGAGCAGTATAGTATCTCAGCTACAAACTTAGGAGTGGCTTATCATCATCATCTTGCATTATCTTTGCTTTTTTCCTCTCATGAGGAACCCAAGCGAACTTACATAGCTCTATTTTATCCTTACAACAACCCTATGAGGTAGGTTAGGCTGAGAGTGAGAGACTGACCCAAAGCCATCCAGTGAACTTCATGGCAGGGTGGGGACTAGAACCCAGATCTCCCAGGTCCCCAGTTCAACCCTCACACCTCACCACCACACTGGCTTTCAGCATGGTTTCTCCAGCATGTGATTTGTTAACTGTGCACAAGACACTGTTGTTAGGATACAAAGGCCCATGGAATACATGCCAGGAGCATGAGCAAGAATTAAGGGGGAAACAAGCCGTAACCTATTTATGTGGCTGAATTGGGGGATTCTTTTATGTGCATCCTTTCTTCAGTTCACATCCCGTTTTGTATTTGAAAGCAGCAGCAAGATTAATAAGGTATTGGGACACTTGATTTGATCAGTGCCAAATTATGATGATGATAATGATAGAGCTCTATGGAATTTAGGGGGATATTTATTCTTCTGTTATACTTGGATTTTTTTCCCAACACTCCAATGAGAATTAAACCCAAAGTAAAACGAACTATTTCCTTTTCAGATTTAGAGAAAATCAAGGCTTATATCGATTCCTTTCGCTTTGGTGCACCTCCTCATGCTGGTGGTGGCATAGGTAATACAGCTTGTTTTAAGTTCTGTTTTAGTTCTTATGTAGCATCAGGTGGAAGAGCAATGTTATGAGAAAGATGATTACAGATTTTGAGCTTAATTCAGAAAGCTAACCTGAATTTACAGGCAATGCATGTGTTTGAAAAAAAAAATATAAGCTGCTTATCTCTGAGGATTTGTTCTAAAAGGCTCCGTTGTGAGATTTGTGTTCCCTTTTATGAAACAGCTTATCAGGGAGATAATTGGGCAATATTCAGAGGCCCACATTCAAAGGACAAAATCCTACGGCTTTTTAGCAATGTTCTTTTCTTCCCACTAGTGGGGCATGGAATGATGAAGAAACAATTGTCTGTCTGATTGGGATTTATTCCTGCTGTTGATGCAGTTAGCACTATAAAGTCTAGAAGATGCTAGACTTTTGATGCTAATTATTTAAGGCTCATCCCTCCCTGCTTTCCCCTCCATAGCCAATTTAGGGCCAAACCTAAAATGATGAGGGAAGAGGAAGTTTCCCAACCTCATCCTCCCCTCTTCATGCTAATTAGAAGGAAAGTGGGCAGAAGCATATACAAGGGGGAATCAAAAGGAGTGTTTTAACCTCTGCATCCCTGCTGATCCGATACTTCCATTCCCCCAACCCCATTTTTGTTCCAGCTAGCCTGAAAGGAAAACATTGGGGAGGGTGATTTACAGTGAAGAATCAGCAGGTAGCAGAGCAAGTAGCTGTTCTACCCACTTATCTTCTTCCAAAATGCCTCTCCCTTCACAGTCTTTTTTCTTAGTAAATGTCATGCTGAGACCTCAAATTTGCAGAAGATAGCATCTGGTTTGGCCCATTATTTCCCTTAGGAAAAAAAAGTTTTGAGGATACTATGGTTCAGCTTGGGGAGATGTTACCTATTAAAATAAATAGAATAAACATTTTAAAGAACTTGTTGTTATTTATTAAATTTGTATAAAAGTCACCCATTAGCATAATGATCTCTGGGCAGCCATTACAATAAAATATCAATAATAACATTAATATGATAATGCAATTAAAATATTGCATTAAATAGACAAGATAAAACACAATATATATCAACAAAAATGTAATTTGAAATATTAAATTAAAATTAAAACCAGCACTGTCATAGAAATAGTTTAAGAAGTGCCATAGGTGTATCAGAAAAGGAACATTTTTGTCAGACGCCTAAAACTCAGTAAGTGGCCCCTTACGAATCTCCAGTAGTAAAGCATTCCATAATTGGGGTGCCACCACAGAAAAGGCCCTCCTTCGCGCCACCTCCCCCTTAACTTCCGTAGGGAGCGGTGGTGTCACCATGGCCATTTTTAACGCAGCCGAAACCTCTCCCTCTCTGAGTGAGGCATTTATAGCCTCCAGGATCCCAGTAAAGATCCCCACTATAGGACTTCCCATAAACCGAGATGGGCAAGGATCAAACAAGTAGGTAGTAGGCCCGACTTGGTCAAGTGTCTTGTCCACATCATTGGGCTGCAAAGGCAAAAACTCATCCAACAAAGATGGACCAGGCGGCACGCTGGACACCTCCAAAGGCAGTACTGCAGCGACTGTGGCATCTAAGTTGGCATCTAAGTTGGAACAGATATGAGCGATTTTATCTTTGAAATGCTGTGCAAACTCATCACAACAGACTGCCAAGGGTTCAACAAGTTCTTTTGTAGTATTAATCCTTAAAATGGGTTTTCAGCTAAGCTGTTTATATTTGCATATGCTTGTCATGCTCCAGTGGTTTGCTCATGTCCCTCTTTAGAGGATGAAAGCTGAATAGAAGCAGATGGAACAGTCTGTGCCCAATGAGACTCTGATTTTGTGATTTCCAGCAAAAATGTAAACTACATATGCAATTGCAAGCAAGGTTCTTGTACTAAAGAACTTATTTTTTGCAAGTGTGATAGCTCAAACTGTTTTCAAAATCTAGAAAGGAGACTTTTCTGTTATAATTTAATTTTTTCTGCTACTTTATAATGGTACATTTCAGACATCACATTAAACATGTTGTTTGTTTTGAGTTAAGTAGCTACATTATTGTTTGAGCTTGCAAATGTACAACAGGCAGATCGTACTTTAGAAGTCTTTCAGCTCTCATATTTCATCCACTCAGTCCTTTGCCTCATCCCATCTTTGCTGCCTCCATCTTTTGAAGCAGAACTTTGGCCATAACTGGCTTTTTTTTCATGGCTTGTGAATTCAGACATAACAGACATAACATTAAAATAGCACAGCAAAGATAAAAGAATGTACATGTCTTAAAACTGAAAAGCTAGACACTCTTAATGTATTAAAATCCCCTGAAAGAGCCTTTAAAAAGCCTAGAAGAATAACGAAAACATTATCTGGTGCCAAAATGTGGTACCAGGTAAGTGCTTATGCGGCGGGCATTCCATAATCTAGGCCCATCATTAAAAAGACCATCTCTGTTGTAGTTACCTGCCAGAGTTTGCTTGGTGGTAGAACTTTGGAGAAGGGTCTCAGATAATGACCAGCCTGCTTTGTTTTTTGTAAATAGGCATGTATACAGATGTCAGTCTTCTAGCTAATTAGACTGAATTTAATTTTGACAGGGTTGGAAAGAGTCACCATGCTGTATCTTGGGTTGAGCAATGTCCGGCAAACATCCATGTTCCCCCGTGATCCCAAACGTCTGACACCTTAAGAAGACTGAAGTGTTGAATTTCAGTGCAGTTCTTGCTCTGAAAGACCCAGCATAAATGCAACATGCAGCAAGAGGACATCTAATCTACTGAAGTGCCACAGTAACAAAAGTTCAACTCATTTATTCCTATTTGAAATCAATAACATTAACATACTTTATTCCGGTGTAGAAATGTCATATATTTTTAAGGAAATTACTTGAATTCAAGAGTACTACTGTCACCCTGTACTTTACACACTTGCTAACAATTGAATTTTAATAAGTTCATAGCAGTGCTATACAAATATATTTGTTTTTAAATACATGGCAGTAAACTTCAAGTTGTAGAATTTGATAAACTGTAATGAGCAAAATTTGGAAAATAGCAACTCGGACAAGGATTAATTTAGAAAAATAACTGAATAATAGTGGACAAATTTAACCTTACTAAATTGTAAATGCAGGTTGCAATAAAACTTCTAAATATCTATTTTGTGTCTTTTTCCTCTCATATAACAACTCATTGGTTTAACAATTTCTGCCTTTTTTGCACAACAAATAATTGGATTACTCACGGTATGTGGCAAGGTTAATCTCTCGTTCCTAACAACCAGTTGGTGTGGGGGGTTTTGTCACATTCCACAACCTACAAAAGAACTGATTGTGCATCATGGGGTAAGATTAGAAAAAGGTGGGCAGACTGCAGGCACCACACGTGTTCATGAGTGACAACCTATTGGTTTTTAAACCAGTAAGTTGTTAACAAGCAGCTCTGTGGTGTAGTAGTTATTCAGAAATTCTGCGTTTTGTCTGGTGCTTACACCTTTGTTCAAATTACACCCCGTGACTCCATAGCATGTTGGTTTTCCATCTTGGCAAGTAATTTTATGTAGCACATAATTAACCTGAAGCTTGCTGTATGACCTTAATGACTAGTCTGCCTCTCAGCTGAACTCTCAGGGTTTTTGAAGATAAAAATGAGATGATCCCTTACATACACTATCCAAATTCCTTAGAAGAAGACTGAAATGTAGATGTGACTAATAATAATTTAATTCTCCCGGAAACGTGCTTCTCCACATCCTCTTGCAATACCACATGGATAAAGCTTTCAGCTTCCCCACCTTAATTGACTTCAGTAGAAAAGGACACCTGGATCTAAATCACAAGCTTGGATGACCAATTATACATTACCCTGATGCTGTGGTCTTGCTTTGTCAATGAAAAGGGAGCATTTTTAATGTGCTCCAGTGTAGTACACAAAGGAACTTCATGTGATGTGCACATGTGATTCTATGAAGTTTTTCACCTTTGTTCACATGTCCCACTACAATTAAGTCTGTAATCAAACCTATGCATGTGTAACTGAAACAACTGTTTTCTTCTTCACCCATTCTTGACTTCAGTTTTCTGTGTGTGATTTAAAATGGTAAAATCCTCAAATCAGGGACTTGTTTCTTTTAAAGCACCATGTATACAGATGGCATGATAATCATCACACATGCATGTTTGGAGAATAGGTAATTTGATAAGAGGCTGTACCATGGCTGCTGTGTTACCGCCTCCACCATGGGTGGGTTGACTTGCGTGTTGTCTACTTTTTCCTGCTAGTATCCCCATGCCCACTGATGTATGTTAGACATTCTGCATAAAAATATAAGACACTCTTCCCAAACCTGGTATGCTGCAACTACAATTTCCTCGCTGTCTGGTGCGGGAGGAGGGAGTGCTAGGAGTTGTAGTCTGAGATATCTGGGGAGTACCAGATTGAGGAAGACTACGTAAGGCCATGGAATGAGGTTTAAGTGAAAGACGCTGCTATTCACACATAGTTGTAGCACGCTGGTAAACACTGGGTTAATCCACTGATGATGTTTGGGGATATATACAAGCCATTTCCAGTTTGCAAGAACTCCATAACTTGTTAGCGTGATGTCTGAATCCGGCCATTTTGGGCTATTTATGTGTTCAAAGTTCTAGGGCAGCTGCCATTGGCGGTGGCCTGGGCAAGCTTGTCAAGAGTAGCAAAAGAGGTTTGCCACAAACCCACAATGATTCCCACAATGACACAACAGCCCCTAGATCAAACTGCGTACTGTTAGCATGTTTGTTGCCTTTAAACCATCCTGTGTGAAGTGCTCTGGGCTCACATGTCTACTCAACATGGATGATAAGGCATAGTCTTCTAACAATCTGAAATGCATACTTTACAGCAGGCTTTAGTCCCTGCCTATAACAGCTGTTGTCAGGGAAAAGAGGGTCCCTGGAGGAGAGGAAATTCTTTGCCTGGTTTGGTCCAACTAAAGAAAAACCCAAATATAAAACAGATTTATTAGACAAAACAAGAATTACATGATCTGCAGAACAGGAGGCACAGCAAAGGAATGTCTCTTCAAATTGTTCGCTGACAGTGGTATTTATAGCAAAATATGCATAATATGTGTTCCAATCAAAGCAAAATACATAATATTAGCAGTTCATGGTAACCGATAATGCTTAGGTTCAGCTATATTCCATATATGGATCTGAATTATCAGAAACATACATAGCAGCCTTACCTACTATGGTACATCTTCTCAATTCACATGCATTAGATTCTTCTAGTACATGTCAAAATTCCCTCCAACACTATACTTCTGCTTACTAGAAGAGAGTGTCTTTTCCATCTTGCATGTATAAAATGGAAAAGCCATTTCTGCAGAAAACATGATGCCCATAGTTATGCAGAATAGATTCTACTTAACTGACTAGCTCTTCATTATAATATTGTATTCTTCTGACATAAACAGGCCCAGGATGTGGGAGGAACTTCACATCATAAAGCCAGGCCAGACATGGGGCTTCTCTGCATGAGGCATTTATGGGACACTCATGATCCTCACTCATGGAAGTTTGCTGGGCATTTTCCTCATGTCATTCTCCCCCAACAGTTGTCCCACAGTTTTTAGCTGCTTCCCCCATGTTTTTCTCTGGGGAAAATGCAGAATAATTTTTAGCATCCCTTTGAACCCACCACCAGTCTCCAGGGTACTTTAGTCACTATGGGATGTTCTGCTATGCTTTGGGAGGTGGAATGTTGGGGATGTGGTTTTGGTGTCAGCAGTGACAAGGCCGTGGGAGCACTGTGAGGCTCAGCCCCACTTTGCACGTGCTGCCCTGAGCCGTTCTGCCACTGCTGCTCTGCGTGGCTGCAGCAGACTCTGACAGATCTTTCCTTTTCCTAGACCCCCTGTTTCTTCTGCATGGCTGATTCCATTGCACCACGGGGGGTGGGGGGAGTCAGGAAAGAAGTCCTCCATCTGCTACACATTTGGGACAAAAGAAATAGGGAGACAAGCGGAAGGAAGGATGCAAGGGCATTCAAGGCACTTCAGTTGTATTCCCACCTCTTGCTCCATCCATATAACCCCTCTCTGCCTTGCAAAGGCTCCTCCTCTGAAAAAAATAAAGTTTGCCATGCCTTTTTAAGGCCTCCTGATTGCTGCTTTTGTCCTCTTGCTCAAGGAACTAGTTGAAATCTACGTCTATTCTAAAGAAAACTGTTAATTTCAATGGCTTAACAAGTGAATCTTGGGGTTGGGGAGGGTGGGAGATGGTGTACTTACTTGCTTTTGGGTGGAGGGAAATCACCCTGCAAATCCTCCCTCCCTCCTGATAAAAGAGTATCTGGTTGAGAAATGGCACAATACTGGGAAAACCCCATAGCAATCTAACCTAACACACACAAAAGGGAAAGAACAGGGAAAGTAGAGAAAGATGTTAAGCTTTTCCAGGATACCTTGGAAAGCTTTACTTCTATGAAAAAACCAGGATCAAACAGGATACAATCCTTGTAAAGGATCCTGTAAATTGATGTACAGGATACCTTGTACAGCACGCAGCTGAAGTGGAATAAAGAGGTGGCTCAGTTTCTAAAATTGTATTTGCACTATACGGCAAATACAACTACCCTCAGCTCAGTCACAGCTGCTGGGTTCTTCAGAAGGGGAAAAGGGGAGTAGCCCTGTGACTTTCCTGCCAGTGTAAAGTTACACTGTGCTTGCCTGACAATGTATGTGGGAAGCCCCATCCACACATAAAAGGGCTTAAAACATTACCTGGCATTATGTTAGCCTCTAGTGAGAGCCCTGTGTTCAATCCTGAAGATAGCATAACTGAACAAAACCCTTGTGTAAAGATACCCACCATCTCTTGATTAACAAATCAGTGGAACATCGCCAGACCTTAAGGTCACATGGTCTGGAAATGTTCACATGAAATAATTACCTGTGAAAGTGCAATTGTCAAAGCTAAAACTACCTTCTGTTTTGTATGAAAACATTGGCTAGGAGATATACAACAGTAAGAGCAGTAAAGTACATGTTGCTTTTAAAATGGTTGTATATACCAAGTGCTTGTACATTTTTATGCTGCCATCCTTTAAATATTACATAATATTTTGCCCACTATGACCCATGATACACTGTTCCCTTTGCAGGATCAGCATATTATACATCTGAGTATGTTTGTCAGCCATCCACCTTAATCTGTGAACATAAATTTTTTAACAACACAGTCAACTGATAAAAGGTTATCAGTTGTAATGCTGAAATGCTGAATCCTAGTCATTCTAGACTTTTATTCCACTTTTCCTCTTTACAAAATCTTCAGTGGAAGAGAAACATATCTACTGATGCATAATAGCCAAGGAGTTTAACATCTGGCACTAGAAAGATTTAAGGAACTCCAATCCCCTTAGGTCTTAAACTATGTTTGATCTCTGATCTTATGCTAGTTCAGGTGCTGCTCAGCAAGCTGATAAAGTCTGAAATTGTAGGTTAAAGTGCAAATTTCTGCTGGTCAGTTCGGCGTGAACTTAATGCAGTTCCTGATAACGTTTTATTTATGGTCACTTTATCCTATTTACAACCAATACAGGGATGTCAGCTCTTTTAACTGCAGCTTGACTTCAAGTGAAGTTCATCTCCACGTGCAGAAACGTTTGCCTGTGAATTCCTGCCTGTCATGCAGTTTTAAAAGCATGGAAGACTAACAAAAGGTAGAGAAAACTTCAGTAAGTTAACTGTACCTGCCCTATATTTTTATTTACTTAATTTATACTGATAATTTTAATCTTATATTTGTAAATCAATGTATTTTTTGTATTTTGTATTTAATGGTAATTTATTATGTGCTATTGTATTTCATTGTATTTTATCGTGTTGTAAGCCGCCCCGAAGTTTCGGCAAGGGGCGGCATAGAAATGTTATAATAATAATGATAATAATAATAATAATAATAATAATAATAGGTCTGCTCGATACAGATAGAAGTATTTTAGGCATATTTAACTTGGCTTAGGTGGCTCACTAAAGGACAAAACAAAACGATCACGTATCGGCCATAGTTCTGTTAGTCACAGGCCGGGAAGAAAAATCCTCAAGTTGAAGCACAACTTTTTTATCTGCGGATTTAAATCTGTAATCCTAGACTTGGGTACCAGGGAGTAAGTTCTACTGAAGTAAATATGGCTCACTTTCGAATAGGCATGCCGGAAAGAATTCCTCCGTACCAATTTCAACTGGCTTCCACTAAAGGCACGCTAGAGAATACTGGGAAGTTTTGCTTGTTTATTTGGTTCCGTGCTGTCTAAACGCACACCGGGCTGTCTAGCCACAACGACCGTTCCTTTTCATCTTAAAGACACCACCCCACCGCTGATTCTCGCCTCCGACTCCCTGCGCTCCCCTTTAACAGCGCGCTCCTCCCGCCCACTTCCTATTTCCTCTTCCTCGCGTCTCATTTGGCGCGAAAAAGCGATCCGGGGAAGTCGCGGGAGGGGGAGGGGTGTCTGCGTTTGCGGCTCGTGATTGGCTGGCGCAGCCACGCGGGGCTCGCCGGTGGCGCGAATTCCTCCTTCGCCTGGGCCGGACTCGCAGGGGAGACGCGATGGACCTGGCGGCGGCGGGCGACGCCGGCTTGGCGGCGGCGGCGGGCGCGCTCAGGCAGATCCGCGATGAAGTGGCCGAGAAGTGCCAGAAGCTGTTCCAGGACTTTCTCGAAGAGTGAGTGCCAACCGCAGGACGAAGCGGGGCGGCCGGGTCGTATGTTGTCTTCCCCTCTCGCACCCCTCCCCCGGGCGAAAGCACGGGACTGGTGTGTGCTTACGCGGGCGTAAGCCCCATTGAACTCGATGGGATTTCTTCTGAGTGGACATGAGTAGGAGTATTCCCCAACCTGGTCCTCAGATACGTTGGATTGCAACTCCCATCATTCCCACTTAGTATGGCTGATGCTCAGGATTGGCTAGTGCTGAAAAGCTGCAGTCTTAGCCTCACTTAAATCTTCAGCCCCGGCGAAATTGGTGACTTGCATAAGACTGGTGTGTCTTTTCTTAGCCTGGGGAGCAGGGAAAAAAGTTCCAGTGTTCTTCATCTCCTGCCATTGTGCTTCGGGCGCCAGTGCCTTCCAGATGTTTTGTACTTCAGCTCCCAGCAGGCCTAACCAGTAGCCAGGAATGCTGGGAGGCATGGTCTATAACATCTGGAGGACAGACTGAAACAGTGGCTTTAATAGTAACTGCGTTCTTTATTATAAGACTTGATAATAGAATAATAATAAACAATAATCGTGCTGGAGTTATGCTGCCCCAGATTGAAAGTTGTTTGAGTTGCATACAATAACAATTTGAAAACAATCTTAATAGAAAGGAAGTGCATAAAAAAAGCATTGCAAATCCATGAAGGTCAGATAACAGTGGTTCAAGAAAGCTCAAAGTGGTGCTGGAAACAGCAGTGTGACTAAGTCTCTGTTTCTAAAGGAGCTTAACAGTTTTTAGAGTTGCAGAGAATCTTTTTAACAGACAGATCCTGTCTTTTTTACTTCTAACTCACAGCCACTATTACAACACTTGGACTGAGGCTTACTTCTGAGTAAGTATGCATAAGGGTTGGGCTGTGTAGCTGGGACCCAGGCTATTCAATCTTATGGATGTGTATCAAGGAATAAAATTTAATGGAACTTGCTAGTATCTGAATCAGCATGCACAGGACTGTTCTGCAAAGTTTACATGAGGTTGTAGTGGCAGATGTTCTTAAGAAACTTCTGAGAGAGTTATTAAGATAGAGCATGATTTCTTTGGCCTCAGCACCAGTTCTGAGGAAATGAGTTTGATCTAAGCATGAAATTATATAAGTGATACATCTTACAACCTTATGAACTTTGTATTATTTTTACTTCATCAATAAAATATTCAATATATCATATCAGTCAAAACATAATCGTTCTACAAATATCCACAAAAATCCCAATAGGAAATAGTGAACAATGTACAATGAATAAACATGCTAATGCAGCACAAATACTAAAACTAAAATTATCATCAGGTATAAACATTGAAATCTCACTGCAGGGTTTAAAATAACTAAGACAGTGATCTTAGAGTTTTGAAAATACTGACAAACTTTAAAAGCCTGGGAAAACACAGTCTCGGTCTGGCACTGAAATAAAAACAATGTGAATACCTGGCAAGCTTCTTTTGAAAGTTCATTCCAGAGATGGGGGACCACCATCAAAACTAGCCCCTGAGCCTCAAAATGAGGGGGCAACTGAAAGGGGGCTTCTATGGATAACCTGGGGGTCAAGGGTAATACTTGGCTGCAGTTGCTTATTGAGAAATATTTCTGTAAATCTGTCCCCTGCCATGTTCAGATTTCAGAACAGCGATGGAGAAATTAAATATTTGCGAGATGCAGAGGAGCTGATCCGCCCAGAGAGAAACACATTAACTGTAAGCTTCATAGATCTGGAGCAGTTTAATCAGCAGCTTGCTACCACAGTCCAAGAAGAGTTTTATCGGTAAGAATGTCCAGGGCTTGTTTGAGTAAACATGCTTTATAGAATTGCAGGTTGTTGTTGCGAGCATTAGGCTTTTTATCCTCTTGCTAAAATAGTTGTCAGCAGTATTAAGGAATTATATAAATTTATTTGCTGGAAGATCAAAGAGGTTTGTCATCCATGGTGTATATATTGGGAATGTGTGAACCACTCCATGTTCCGTTGCTACTTTTTCAGATAGCATAATGGGATTGGCATGGAAGGTATCGCAGCTGTCGTCTTTCAAAATCTGGGGAGCAATACCTGAAGCACCTCCACCTCCTGTGAGGTGGTACATTTGGAGCTAGTTTTGCTACTCAGAGTACCATTTGGGAACTATCTGGTGTTCTTGTGGGAAAACCATTCTTACTATATTACATTTATACCTTGCCTTTGTTCTTCATGCAGTGTGGCTAACATAGTCCTCTTCCACCCCATCTTATCCTCAAATCAACTAGCCCAAGGTCACACAGTGAGCTTTATGGCTGATTGAGGAGTAAAACCTGGATCTACTGGGTTCCCAGTCCAACACTAACCATCATGCCATACTGAGTCTCATTCATTAATGTATATGTAATGTATGGTTGAGAACAGTATATAGTTGTGTTCAAGTATATGAAATAATGTCAAAACAAACAAAGTACCTTTGAATTTGAGCCAAATATTGTTCCCAAAATTAGGTATAACAGAAATGAGATTTGAAGCCTTGGGCATGGGGGACAAAGATAGAAACAATTCTGTGTGTCTTTTTTGTTTTCTTTACATTAATATTGCTGTATATTTCAACATATGTCAAAGTGTATTGAGGCTTTGTTGTGAAACACATCTGGTTTGGTCTTGAAGATACTAAGTTTTACATCACTAAAATTCTCTATTGTTTTTCAGAGTCTATCCTTTCTTGTGTCGAGCTGTAAAAGCTTTTGCCAGAGATCATGGAAACACTGTTCCCAACAAGGACTTCTACGTTGCTTTCCAAGACCTGCCTACAAGGCACAAGTAAGAGACTTGGATAATGCTGAACACTGAAATAAATTGGCATAGTAAAGATCCAGGCATGCAGCATAGCAAGGAAACTGCAGTTCAGTTTGGAGGGTACTCTGCATCGAGTCTTGTTCACAAGTCAAGGGAATTTAGTTAGCACTTCTGACTTTGCAGAACACAGAATGCTCATGTAAATTATGCTGCCATTCCAGTCATAGGGGCATATTAAACTGTGTATAGGTGGGAGAAGTAGTGTCACCTGCTACTGTGACAGGTTTTCTTCTCAGGAACTGCATTCTTTGGTGTTGCTCTCAAGCAGTCTTTCCCAACCTAGTACCTTCTAAGTTGTTAGACATCAGCTCCCATTATGTTGGCCTGAAATGATAGGGATTGCAATCTAAAGCATCTTGAGGGCATTTGTAAGAAGCTAGAGAAAGAGTGCAAGAAATTCCAGCATGAATGTGCCCTTAGGCACATGGAGGGAAGCTTTTCTTGATAGAGAGCTATGGAAAAGACTGCTTAAGGCTTTGCTATAGTATAGTAAATTTTTTCTTAAATTATTTGCTGGGTTGCCAAATAATACTTTCTTAGCTGTGTATTGTTGTTATTTCCACCTGAAATGTTTACAAGATTTCAGCAATATCTTATTCAGCATGATAATCTAAACATTAGGTGGAACGTGACGGAAAATCAGCCATTTAATTCCTTAGAACTTCCCCATTATGTATTTTTCTTAGATGTTATAGATAACAACATGCCTGTATAGATTGGCTTGCAGATCTAACTACTGTGAACAGAGCAGGTACTTGTTCTTAGCTTCAGAACAGCTTGTACTTGCCAGTGATAGCTTTCCATAACAATAATAGCCTATAATGGCCCATGTAATCACTGTTGGATTTTTCGAATCATGGTTTTCCAGACTGAATTGCTTTTAAGTTTAACTTTGTTCTCTAAACAGAATCCGAGAAATGACCTCAGCTCGAATTGGATCCCTCATGCGCATTAGTGGGCAGGTGGTCCGAACCCACCCAGTTCACCCTGAACTTGTAAGTGGAACCTTCCTCTGCCTGGATTGCCAAACAGTAATAAAAGATGTGGAGCAGCAGTTCAAGTATACACAGCCGAACATCTGCAGAAATCCAGTCTGTGCCAATAGGAGACGGTTCCTCCTTGACACCAACAAATCCCGATTTGTTGACTTTCAAAAGGTAATTCAGGAATTGTGTTTAGAATTTCCACTTGCTTTAGACTGTAATAGACAATAGATTGCAGAGCACTCTGTTAATACTCTGCAGTCTATTGTCTGTTACTCTATTGTCTGATACTCTGTTAGTATCAGGTTTCTTGGGGTAGGGTGGTTCAGATATCAAACTAAGCCATGGTTTAATACCATATGATCAAGGCTGTAAAAATTCTCAGCTTTACTTAAAGCAACTCCATCCCCCCCCCGCCCCACCCCAAGTCAATCAGGCCTTGTGGTTTCTTTTCTTCATTCCTGGTTTGGCACAAACTACAGTTTGCCCTTTTGTTTGAACTGACAAACTGAGATTGTGCCTTCAGTGTTGGTTTGGGTGGCAAATAAATAATTTGCCTATTCTGAATAAACTAGAAACTACAGTGGAAGGATGAGAGTAACAGAGGATGAAGAGAGTAGTTGTAGGCCTGTGCTTAAAGGCTGGCTAATATAACAACAAATGTGACTTAGCGTCAAGTGAACAAGTTCTGTATCTCTAGTGCATAACTGGACAATTTGGTAATGTTTGCTACTTACATAAATAGCAAATGTTGCCGTTTTTGTTCCATTTCTATGTTGGAAAGCATACCAAGCATACAACTGCCACATGGTTAAGGCTACAGACATTATTCTTCATTGGCCACGCTGGCTGGGATTGATGGGAGATGAATTCCAAAACATCTGGAAGGCTGTTGCAGCCTCCAGAGACCAACTTCTGGTTTAGCCTCAAGGCCCAGCATTCCCCATCCCAGCATGTTCTGGATGTGTTGGACTACGGTGTCCATCAACCACAGCCAAAAAGGTGAACATCCTTTCTGAGAATGATGGGGATTGTAGTCTGACAAATCCTTCACATGCTAGGTTGGGGAAGGCTGCCGTGGACATTAATTCTAGATCCAGTTCTTAGTTGGTCATTGTGAACTACATTTAAATTATTGCTGTACACAAAGACATAGGATCACATTATAAAATACTGTCAGCATATAAGGAAGAAGAAAGGAATCAACAAAATCTGTTTTTAATATAAACTTATAAAGGTCAGAGTTGTGTTCGGCAGCATATTTTTGTGTCAGAGACTGTTTCTCAGCTTTTAATAGCGCTTTCCTATGCCCAGTTCATCTTCCCTTTTTTCCTGTCACTGCCAATACGGTAGAAAGAATCTTGCTTTTCTGAGAGTGTTCCTTGTGGGGCTTGCCCTTTGCCTTGCGGGGAAGTTTAGATGTTTATGATTGATGTCATTCATGGTTTGAAACACCCCTGGTACACAGAATATTGACCCGGGCCTCTGGAAGCTTAATGCTGTTAAAAATTCTGCACACCCCTACAAAAATAAAAGCTGATATTTAGGAACACAGTCTTATTTTCGAGTTCACACAGGAGAAAGCTTTGGGCTGCACTGTTAACCTCTTCAAGTTTGATATTTTGTTTTTGTCCTCTCATTAGGTTCGTATTCAGGAGACACAGGCCGAGTTGCCCCGAGGGAGCATTCCTCGCAGTGTCGAAGTGATCTTGCGTGCAGAAGCTGTAGAATCAGCGCAGGCCGGTGACAAGTGTGACTTCACAGGATCGCTCATTGTTGTGCCTGATGTAGCCCAGCTCTCCACCCCAGGTCGGTGGGCGTTACTCAGAGCAATGCAGCATTCGAGACCAGCTGCATTTTCAGAAAAGGCATGCTTCACGGGCTTCTTGAGCGAGAGGTTGAAATGGCATAAAAGTTGCAGTTGCAACTTTATGTGCAACCCACCCCCCATCCAAGTCTTGTAGTTCAACTTTGCTGATCCTGGTGCCTTCCAAAAATTTGGGACTTAAAATCCCATCAGCTCCAGCTAGCTCGATCAAGAATGCTAAGAGCCAAAATTCAAAACATTGGGAGGATGCTGGGTCCCCTAAGACTGCCCCAGAACATTGAGGGGAAGGGGAAGCTCTCTGTGATGTTTACGTGCCTGCAAATAGGTTTGACATTCAACTGTGCCATTCCCACCAGTGTCTTCACAGGACAGCTGTATTTCCTGCTTTTTCAGTTGCATAGACTGAACATGACCTGGAGCAGAACCTAAACTGGTCTTCCCTTAATAGGTGTAAGGGCAGAAACTGGTTCTCGAGTGAGTGGGAAAGAAGGCTATGAAACTGAAGGTATCAGAGGACTCCGTGCGCTTGGGGTCAGAGAGTTATCCTACAAATTGGTCTTTCTGGCATGTTACGTTGCACCAACAAACCCAAGGGTAAGCCTTATTAAGGGAAGATGGATTTGAAAATCCTTGCTGAAGAAAATGGTGGTGGGATTTCACTGTATCCCGTTATGGAACATTATAGCTCATGCTTATAGCATTTTGCCATCTTTAATTACCTGACATTCTGCCAATTCTGCTTGCATTTTTCTCGCTGTTTACAAAACCATCTTCACACACATCATTAGCATTCTGAACTGAGAATTCACTACAGATGTGTTTAATTACAATTTAAAAAGCCCTTCTCATTCCAAGATTTTCCGTCTGTCTCTTACTTTCCAAAATTGATCCCCTAGGTAGTTCTGTGTTGGAACTTGTCAGTAGCAAGCTAAGGTTGCAGTGCCACCTACCAACTTTGCCATTTGCCACTTACCTAAAGTGACAGAATAAGGTGGAGGAATGATCCGTGTGTTTCTGCATCTGGGAGAACACTTTTGTGGATGCTTCCTGTGCAAAAACTATCACAGCAGGAAGAATTTCGGGCTAGAAGTTTGTTCCCTTACCTGCCAGCTTTCTGCTTCAATTTAAAGCAGAAAATATTCGCCCATATACATGTGATATGGGCGATAAGATAACTCTTATCTCCTAAAAGTAACCCTATATGTTCTAATTATGGACACAGTCCGTCTTGCAGACTCTGCCAAATGCTTCAACTGATGCACTTTCCTCCATTTTATTTTCATTTTAATGGTTTATTTTGCGTTCTCATATTTCTCCCTCCCTAACTTCATTTCAGTTTGGTGGAAAGGAACTCCGAGATGAAGAACAAACTGCAGAAAGCATTAAAAACCAGATGTCTGTGAAAGAGTGGGAAAAAGTATTTGAAATGAGCCAGGATAAAAACCTTTATCACAACCTTTGTACCAGTCTCTTCCCTACCATACATGGTAAGAGCTAATTGTGGGGTCATGTTTCAGTAACTAGTATTATCTTAGGTCAGTTGGAAGCGTTCAAATGAATTAAAATCCTCTGTTATTCCCTTGAATAAAGGTTTGTTATCCTTCTGAACATGAGAGATCAGAACAGTGAATTTGGTTTCTGGTTGTTTTTCCTAATGATGGTTGTTTTGTACCCAGAGAGTAAGAGACTGTAGACAAAATCTCCATGCATTTAGGATTTTTTACCCCTCCTTTTCTCCAGTTCTGTGTGCATATATGTACTACTGCTTGTATGTATATTCTTACGGGATCGTGTACAAGAGATCCACTTGTTGCAGGTAGCAAATACAGAATATTGCTGCATGAATGCAGGCTTTATCACCTGTATCTCCTTATCCAGTAACCCATGTACCCTAATCACAGATGATAGGCTTGAACTTTGATTCACAGATTATGCAAAATGGCTGATTCCTGCTGTCTGCATTTTAAAGGTCAGCAGTCAACATACATTATTTTGAGCTGCAGTCATCTTTTGACTTAGGTCTGTTTTAGAGACAGTAAGCTGAGTCCAGAGTTCACTGAGTGGAGCTCTCTTCACGCAAGCATGCACTGCAGCAGGGTGGGTGCAAATGTTTGTCATTCCCTTCTTCCCCCTTTGTCCCCTAAAAAGCTCCTGTTGGTGAATGAGGGATCTGCTAGGACATCATGGGAAGGACCTGCAGGGGGAACAGGGTCTCAAAGAATAGCAGCTTTCTCTTCACTAGTTTTCAGTCCCTTCCACAAAGAGAAAGAGCACTTCTGTTCTAGAAGAGGCAGTCTGGATCCAATCCAATGTCCTTTGGTCCTCTTCAGTACCATGTTAGAGGTGATGAAGTAGTAAGTTTTGGAGACATTGCCGTGGGCAAGCCCATGGCTGATGCTTTTCAGTGAGAACAGGAGCTTGTCAGATTTAGAGCACAACCCCATGCACATTCAGATAGGAAAAAACCCTACAGTTTCCTAAGCGTGCATAGGGTTGCACTGCAAAGCTGACTTGGTTACTGAGGAAGCCTGGTTGAGTTTTGAAGGACTGTTTAAAGCCACCAACACAGCAGCTACCATATAAGATCTCTTGTATTCATTTCATAGGCTTAACCCTAAATTTGAGCCCTGGGGAAATTTTCATGTTCTTTACTATTATTTATTGTGGTGCAGGTAATGACGAAGTGAAACGAGGGATTCTACTCATGCTGTTTGGTGGAGTTCCTAAAACAACAGGAGAAGGCACTTCATTGCGTGGCGACATCAACGTCTGTATCGTCGGGGATCCAAGTACCTCCAAGAGTCAGTTTCTTAAGTAAGTTTCTCTTAACCGTTCACATAGGTCACTGCATCGTTACTGTGGCTAGGTGGGTGGGTGGTGCTGCATGTGCGGGATGAACTAATTTATAGGGAGCTGTAAATGCTTGCATTCAGTTGCTGAGGTAAGGAGACATTGGATGTGTCGTGTGTTCTTATAATATGGCACAGAGATCACAGCATGCAATTCTAGAGCAGGGGTCCTCAAACTTTTTGAACAGGGGGCCAGTTGACAGGTCCCAGCAGTGGGTGCAGGCCACCAAGGTGGTGCCAGCGGGAGGGCGTGGGCTGGTGTGGGGGCGGGGTGTGCACACACGCGTGCACAAGGCAAGGCGGGGACAAGGGGGAGGCGTGCAGGACGAGGCACTGATTTGCTCACGGGGAGATCGTTTTCTCCAAGCTAGTCCAAAATGACCTCGCGAGCAAGCCGTGTGCCTGCCTGTGCACCCAGCGAGTGCAAAGCCTGTGGGGTGGGCTGGTTAAAAGGACATGGTGGGCCGGATTCGGCCCATGAGCCTTAGTTTGAGGACCCGTATTCTAGAGCCATGGGAACCGCTGAAATGATTCTCAAGTGAACTGCATTTTTTTTAAAGGTAGCTTGTTGGGAGGGGGTTACAGACATTGGCATCAATATGAGTTCCTGATAGTACATTTTAATAGCTATTGATGCAAGTGTAAAGTTTGTAAGAAAGTTGGATGGAGAGGAAATTTGGTGCAGAATATATTGGTGCAGAATGAAGGCCAGAGGGCAACCGGTGGTTAGAATGGCGACCTTAATACAAAGAAGAAAGCTCGCTCCCACCAGAAGAAGGGCGAGCGGGTGGGTTCTGGCCCCAGCCCTTGGTGTTCCTTGTGTGGTCTGCTTGCTGCAGGGCAGATGCTGTCTTACCGCTGTTCACTGCCAGTCGTGGACGTATTCCCCAAACGTCCGTCTCATTCGTCTAGAGATGCTGTACTAGTGGTTGATGCATTAGATACCAACTCTGATGAACCTCCTTCCCTGGTCACTTAAGAGAGCCTTCTTGCGCACTGCTCGCAATTGCATGAGAAGTTGTTCAGAGCTCTCATATCTTCAGATTACCATGGGGTTGTTGTGTCTCTTTCGTAAGCTTTCCAGCGTGACTTGTTAAATAACTTATTCATTGACCCAACAGGCATGTGGAGGAATTCAGCCCCCGAGCTGTATATACCAGCGGAAAGGCCTCCAGTGCGGCTGGCTTAACAGCTGCTGTCGTGAAAGATGAAGAGTCCTATGAATTTGTCATTGAAGCTGGAGCTCTAATGTTGGCAGATAATGTATGTTATCCAAGTGGCAGGACTAAACCGTTTTCAGTGGTCTCTTTTTGTTTTCCTGGTATGGAATGAGGAATTTATGAGTCTTGCACCTGCTTTTTTCTTTAGGGAGTGTGTTGCATTGATGAATTTGACAAAATGGATATGAGAGATCAAGTTGCCATTCACGAAGCAATGGAACAACAGACTATATCCATTACTAAAGCAGGAGTCAAGGTAAACGGTTGCATTGCTTGTCTTTATAGAAATTATGTGTTGAATTAGAATATTAAATATGTTATCAACTTGTCCAGTAATCTTTTGACTTGCTTCCTGGTCCACTAGGACCATGACTTGTCAATAAGTTTTATTCCATCCAAAAAACTCAGGAACCTCTCTTGTGTTAAAGCATTCCTAGATAGAAGAGGGTGAGTCCCACTATCCAAATCCAGAACAGAATTTTTGTCTTCTGCAACTCTAACTCAAAATTAAGCTCTCACTGTTTATGATAAAGTAGGCATTTTTGCAGGAAAGCTATCACTGTAGTTCGTGTGTGTGACTGAATGTGCATCTGGTCATGAAAGTCCTTGTACATTTAGACTGCAGTTCTGTGAGCACTTATTCTGAGTAAGCGCCACTGAACTCCAAGTAAGGATGAGGATGCAGTCATGCATCCAGTTAAGTGTGCACAATTAAAGTGAAGTCAGTGGCTTAACCTTCTGTTACTACAGGATTCTGGATTTAAATAGTAACTTCTATTTTTGTGCCTGTTTTGTTCCCAAAATTTAAGTTTCCTATTTTTGGAATAGTTGATCGAGTAGATTCTAAATACTGTTGAAAGCATCCTCGATTGTTTGTCTTTGTTTTCCTCAAATTCCTCCTCAATTATTTTTCTTCACATAACTTGGTCTACTTGCTTAGAAAAACCTTTTCTTTATCATCAGGCTACATTGAATGCCAGAACCTCTATTTTGGCAGCAGCTAACCCGGTTGGTGGACATTATGACAGAGCAAAGTCTTTGAAACAGAACATAAACCTATCAGCCCCCATCATGTCTAGATTTGATCTCTTCTTCATTCTTGTGGATGAATGCAATGAGGTAAACCATAACCTACAACTACATATAGTGCAATTCTAATTCAAGGATAGGCACGCTCTAACTCTTAGAATGCTGTCGATGTCTGAGAAGGCTTCTAGTAGTGGTCCATGCTTTTCCCCTCTGGTTGGGGAAGGCAGAGATCATGTGAGAAATTGTTTCTTCATGAGCTCTCTGCCTTTCGGTCAGTTCTGCTCACTGCTTACCTAATGGTGCATATAGAGAGGGCAGAGCCTTGCCTGAGCTGGTATTTCTTCAGCAGCCAACAATGTAGCACCACTGAAGCTCTCTGGCTGTTTTGGATTAAAATTCCCAGCAGTCCTAATCACTGGCTGTACTGTGTGGGGCTGAAAGGAACTGGTCCAAAAGATACCTGGCTAGAGAAGGCGGATGTGCAGCAGGGATGACTTGGATCCAAAGATAAGGAAATCCATAGAAGGAAAGCTTCTTGGCCCACCTCTCCCCTGCTACCACTTGGGGCCCTGAAATGGATGATAACAGCAGGACTAGCTGAACTATCCAGATACGGGGAATCGCACCAAACATGGCTGCAAAGCAGAGGAAGGAGATAGCAACGTTTATAAGCTTCCTTAAATTCTTAGAAGTCAATCTTATGGAGTTGGATTTGGAAGCTAGTAAGCAGGAACATTATATTGCCCTTTTAAAAAATGCTAGCCTAAAATTGCTTTTAACAGCACTAACAGTAGTGAGAGATTTGTGTCCCGTTTAGAGGTGTAAAGAGAACATCATAAAACCAAATGAACTCGTTTGCACAACATGACAAGCTAAAGTACAGATTGAGTTTGGTTTGTTGTTCAGTTGCAGGTTTTTGTGTTGTGTGAACCCAGTCATGCTAATGAACCATAGATTGTTAGCTACAAACAACCCACAGTTCACAATCCAGCAACAAATGGTGGGTTGTTGGTGGTTAAGAAACCTAGGTTTCTTAGTGTGCCTACATTACTGTGCACAAGAATCCGTGAATCAGTGAGAACCCATACCCGAGGCAGACTCTGGCTTGTAACCCACCCACATTTGTTGAAGTTGCTGCCAAAGCGATTACTGAAACAGCAGGCAGTAATCTATTGTTTGAGGCTGCAATCCTAATCTAACCTCAGATTTCTCCTCCCAGCTGCCATGGAAATCTGCAGCCATTACCTCCCAGGCGAGGAAGGTAAAAGGAGTGCAGGCTGGGGGTCATGAAGGCAGTCTCTGGGATGGGGGCTCCTTTGAATCCAAAGCCCTTCCAGGCCCTGCCAACATGGCTAAATATTTACCCCGACTCTCATGCTGGCCTGGAGAATTTCCCTTCCATTGCAGGCTGTAGAAAGGAAATAGGTCCCCCTGCCCGAAGGGACCTGGAAGGCAGGGAGGAGAGTGCTGTCCTCCCCCACTCCTGCTCTTCTGGCAGCAGCACCACATTGCTTTGGATGTATCTGAGGCACCAGTGCCAGAGCATGCTGATTCATCAAGATCAAGCAAGATTGCCCTGTAATTAAAACTTAAGGTCAGCCAATTCTAACTGAAACCTCTCCTCCTCAGGTTACAGATTATGCCATTGCAAGGCGCATTGTGGATCTTCATTCTAGAATAGAAGAATCCATTGATCGTATTTACACGTTGGATGATATCCGAAGGTACCTTCTCTTTGCCAGACAATTTAAACCCAAGGTAATGGAAATGTTCAATCTTGCTTCAGTTTGAGCGCAGGGGGATACAAAGTTAGAGCAGCGGCTTTAGGTGTGGCCTGAGCAGAGCGTGCTCTCCCGCTGACTGACTAGCATGATGAGCTTATTGGGATCGAATGCCAGTGCTGTCTGCCTCCACGGCATTAATAAAGGGACGGTTTGGAGTTGCTGAAATGCTAAGAGTTTCTGTTCCTTGATCCAGCAAGTGTACGATGGGACCAACTGTCTCTATGGAAACCTAATAAATTACAGGCAAGTTGTTACAGTGAATGTGATGAGGAATCCATATCTAGCCATCATTTTATTTAGTTATTTATTTATTTATTTAAAACATTTCTATGCTGCCCCAGTCGCAAAAAGCCTCGGGGCGGCTTACAAAAGAGAGCCAACACACACAATTAACCTTAAAACACTATAAAACCCCATAAATCAATTAATAATTAAAATAACGTTTAAATAAAAAGGTCTTGGCCTGGTGCAGAAAAACAAATAGCGACGGCACCAGGCGGACCTCTCTGGGGAGTGCATTCCATAGATGGGGCGCCACCTCAGAGAAGGCTCTCCTCCGGGTGCTCACCCTCCTAATATCTTTCACGGAGGGTTCCTGGAGGAGGGCCTCTGCCACTGATCCCAAGGGGCAGGAGGGCATATATGGACACAAACGCTCCTTTAGATAGCCAGGTCCCAAGCCGTTGAGGGCTTTATAGGTGGGCTTTATAATTAATCACCTTTGAAGTGGAAATTGACTCTTCCCATCTAAGTAGGAAGTGTTACGGAGCTCTACTATATTTAACATTTTTTTTCTTAATTTGTCCAATAGATTTCTAAAGAGTCAGAAGATTTTATAGTTGCGCAGTATAAGCGCTTACGCCAGAGGGATGGCTCTGGCATTACAAAATCCTCATGGAGAATCACAGTACGACAGCTGGAGAGCATGATTCGACTGTCGGAAGCCATGGCCCGGATGCACTGCTGTGATGAGGTAGCCGCTTTGGATGGAGTAGCCTTGGGCGTGACTGGAGCTTGACCATGTAGCTGTTCCTAACTGTTTTTCCCCTCTAAAACATTAAGTCCATATCAATAAAGCATTGGGAAAGGCTTACCAGTTATTTGTTGCAGCGTACAGCAGCTTGCAATTAGGGATGCAACATGCACGTCCGACTCCGGCTCTCTTGCACTCACCCTTCTTTCCCACACTCAGCCCTGGCCCGGAAGCAAGCTGAGCGGAGATCAAGTCCTCCAATACTTTGCACAAAGTACACAAAGCCATGTGTGGGAAAGCAGAACTCTGCCGACACAATGGGGCGCAGGCAGTCGTGCACAAGCTGGCCTCACAGGCTTGCTCAGACTCACTTCCTGCCAGACGCCCATGTGAACACTCGGCATGAGCCAGTCTTTGAGCAGAGAGGAAGTGGGCCAGAGTCTGGAAAGTAAGAAAACCAACAGATTCCTGCCCCCAAACTGGATGCCCCATGCATTGCTGCTTCCGGTAGCTTGAAATGAAAAGCCTCTGTTACCTTATTAAAATGTTAAGTGGTCTAACACCCCTTATTTAATTCTACTTCTGGTAAAAACAGATATCCCCATGTAACTCTTAAAGATGAAAGGATGAAATTTAAGTCTAGCTTGTTGCAAATTTTGTGCTACGCACACATCTTTAACCTGCTTGGTACTGAGTTGTTTTTAATTCAAGCTTGTGTTTTCTTCCACCAGCTTCCTCATGAAATTTTTAATCATTTTTGTGTATCTTTCATTTGTAGATTGTTCTTGATTTTTATATTGTATTCTGTTCCTTCAGGGAAGATTATTCGGAAAGTAAACCCTCAGAGCTATTTGTTTTTCTTGTGCTTTACCTGTAATAGGTATATTGAAAATGAATGATGTTTTTTCAGGAGAAAATTAACTCTTCTTTTTAAATGTTCTTACAAGGTTCATCCAAAACATGTGAAGGAAGCTTTCAGGTTATTGAACAAATCTATCATCCGAGTTGAAACTCCAGACATCAATTTAGAGCAAGATGAAGAACAACCTATGGAAGAGCCTGAGGCCCAGGACGGAGTCGTTGGTGGGTAGTTCTCAAATGAGTTCTGAATTACCTGGTTCCGCTTCATAGCTTCTTCACAAACTCGTGCCTAAAAGGCAAGATCGAAATCTCCAACCTCAATAATAAATTCTTCTTAGGGCATGTTTGTTTTCAGGTGTGATTTGGTGGAAGAAGGTGACTAACGGGGTCAACTCCCTTCATTTCACATGGGATTATGTGATTTGGCTCTCCAGCCTGGATACTGTTCAATTCCATCCAGGTCTTTTCCCTGCCTTGCCCAGGACAGAGCTCTGCTGCTCAGCTCCTTAAATACTGAACCAGAATGTAAGCATCAGGCTACGCTGTCCAGTGGCCTAACCAAGCCAGAAGACTGTTTTAAAAGCCATGCACCAATCTTCCCCAACCTAGTGCCTTCCACACGTTTTGGTCTACAGCTCCAATTAGCTCCAGCAAACACGGCTGATGGCTGGGATGATGGGAGTTGTTCCACATTGTCAGCCGGGCACCAGCTTGGAGAAGACTGCCCTACAGCGCTAGGCCCTGACTATCTGAAGAATTGTGAGCCACCTAGGGATTCCATTGGTGGAATAGGCAGCATGTAAATATTTTAGGCAAAGGTAAAGGTTTCCCTGAAGTCCAGTCGTGTCTGACTCTAGGGGGTGGTGCTCATCTCCATTTCTTAGCCGAGGGAGCCAGCCTTGTCTGCTGACGGTTTCCGTGGGCATGTGGCCAGCATGACTAAACACCAAAGTGCACCTTCCCACCAAAGTGATACCTATTTATCGCATGCGTTCGAACTGCTAGGATGGCAGGAGCTGGGACAAAGCAACAGGGGCTCACCCCGTTGCACAGATTCAAACTGCCGACCTTTCGATTGACAAGCTCACTGGCTCAGTGGTTCAAACCTCTGTGGTATATCTCAGTGATTTAAACTCTTAAACCACTGAGGTAGACTTTTAAATAATAAATGTTTCCATGTATCCCTTCCAGTAGGATCTGGTGGTGGGCTTGTGGCATTCTCCGCTTGGCACCTGGCCTTTGGTTGCTAGGTGAAAAGCTTTTTCTTTCAAAAAAACTTTTTTAGGGGCCTGGGTTTTGAAGTTTGACATGCTGTATTCTGTAGTGAGCCTCCAAGTAAGCCTTGCTGTGAGCAGTCTATGGCTTGAGGCCGTACCCATATACCTGGGAGGATCTTGTTGGAACATACTAGAGCTTATTTCGGAGCACATACACCTGGGAGGATCTTGTTGGAACATACTAGAGCTTATTTCGGAGCACATACACCTGAGAGGATCTTGTTGGAACATACTAGAGCTTATTTCGGAGCAAACAGAGTCTTGGCTTTCAAATAAGCATGGTTTCTAATCCTTATGGTTGCAGAAAGAAACCACAGAAAATGTAATTGCACCCTCACTTCTGAAAATATTCCATAACAAAAAGGCAAATGAATGTCCATTATTCTCCAGTCCATACAGCGGTTTTAAGTAGCAAAATACTTGGTTTTACTAATTGGATAATTGGACTCCTGGTCACCCCAAGGTGCAGGAAGGTAACAAAAATCTAAAGCAGTGGTCAGTTGACAGAGTGACAGGCAACCCACTCTACATTAGCAAAAATTGGGTGCTAGTTTGAGTGCGTCGAAGAGACGTTTCATTGCACGACCTGCTTCTCCTGCGGCCTTCTGTTCTCTCCCCTGGCCTCCAATGGCTACAAAACTGTCACTGCTTTCCAGGCGATGGAGAAACCGTGAATGGCTTGGTGAATGGTGGCGACGGGCACACAGAAGGCTTGAGCAAAGATTCGGTGCCGAAGCCTTCCCTGAGGCTCAGTTTCCCTGAATACCGCAAGATCTCCAACCTCATTGTGATGCACTTAAGGAAATCTGAAGATGGTAAGTGCCAAGTTAGCCTGCCTCAGAAGACCTGTCAGGGCCCCACTTTCAGCACGTGTTCCTTCATGCGAGAAGTGGAGCACATAGGAAACAGGAGAGTACATCTGACTGTGAGTGGAGCACATCCGTCTCATCACATGTTCACCATCGCCACTTGCCCTGGAGTATTGGTACCTTGTGGAGACTTGGGGAAATTAACAGAAACAGATCAAGCACATGTTTTTTAACTCTGTGGATGTTTCAGATCAATTTAAAGCAGTAGTTCCCAACCTTCTGTCTTCAGATGTTGGATGGTAAGTCCCATAATTCCCAGTCATCCTGGCCAGTAAGCCAGCATTATCTGGAGGCCCAGATAGGGAACTGTCCTCCTAGGGGAGCCCAGGAGGAGTATAACAATAGAAAATCATGGTGACAGTTATAATGATGGCTCTGCTAAAACAATGAGATGAAAGCTATTTGAAAGGATGCACAAAACTATTGTACTTTAGAGAAAACAACAACTGTAAGAGTCCTAATGCAGCATTATGTCTGGATTTCTTACATGCCTTGAATAAGCAGTGCTTTTGTAGATGGCTGGCAGTTCTAGGCATTTATATGTAAACACTGAGCTAGAACTGTTCTGCATGTGAAAGCAGCAATTCCTGGGTTGTTAAACTACCAAGAACAAGGGGCCCGTGTGAGTTGCATGTTCGCTTATTTCAGTTGCAAGCAACCAAAGAACCAGCCCTGTTTCTGCATGATTGCATAGTGCAAACCTGGAAGCCACAGAACATCCAACAACAAACCACAGGTAATCATAAGATCACCTTTGGGTTGTTTAACGATGAACAAGTTTTTGGTTCACATGTGAAGAAACAGCTCAAGACCAGGGTGTTCCTGGCATGTTAATTAAAAATGTAAATGTATCTCTTCCCTCTTCTCAAACATTCTTTCAAGATTGGGTGAGGCTAAGAGAATATTGCAATCTTTGCATTAAAAATGACCTTATTTACAAGGTAGTTCTAAAGATTATTTATATACTATATACATATGAAGCACTTTTGGAGTCATAATAAAATTGTGTCCATCTCCCCTCCTGCTTTGCTTGCAGAAGATGATGATTCCTCCTTAAAAAAGAGTGAGATTATCAACTGGTACTTAAAGGAAATTGAATCAGAAATAGATTCTGAAGAAGAACTCATCAATAAAAAGAAAATAATAGAAAAAGTTATCCATCGTCTTACACACTATGTATGTATAACTATTTGTCACAGGTTCTTTTTGAAGCCAAAAGTTCACTGCCTTGGGGGAAGACTGATGTAAATACAACAAATAGAGTTTATTGGTCTAGATATTTGAGGATGATATTATCTAGATAATTAGTTTAATCCTATGACCTGAAGCATATTAATTCTGAAGCAGGTGCCACCAAGTTAAATGGTCTTACTCCTTAGTAGGGATGCATACAATTGCAAGTTACTGAGGTAAACATAAATAGGGTTTCAGTCAAATGCACACTAACCAGGGAATACATCTGATTAAACCCAGAAGGACTTGGATCTGAGTAGACAGCGCTAGATTCCTTGCTTAGGCTGATGGTTATGTTCACTTCTGCTAAGCAGTTCTACCTATTCTGGCCCCAAAATATGGTTGCCTTTTCATAGATGCTCTGCATGCATAGCATTGTGGCAAAGAAGTAAGAGAACACGGTATTGATTGTAATTAAGGCTACAGTCTTACCCTTTTGGAAGCAAATCCAGTTTAAAGTGGTGGCATCTTACTTTAAAGAAAGTATGTTTGACATAGGGATTCTGCTGTGTAGGGCCTACACCTTGTAAAACATGCCTGAGTTGAGAATTCTCTGTTTCAGGACCACATTTTAATTGAGCTCACCCAGACAGGATTGAAAGACTCAACAGAAGGACAGAGTTTTGATGAAGACCCTTATCTCGTCGTTAATCCTAACTACCTGCTAGAAGACTAGGGATTAGAAGCAGTGCTACAGGATCAGCATATCCATTTTCCTGCTGGGGCCTCTTGCCAGAGTTGCTATCAGCATCGCCACTGTACATAGCCGGCTCACCCCAGAGAGCTTTGTCACAGAATTCATCCACCTTGTCTTTGTAATAATCTTTTTATAGAGATAAGTGTCTACATTCTTCCCAGACAAGGGAGTCATGCAACTTTTAAAGCAGTTTAAAAAGAAGCTGACTTATCTTAATGCTTCTTCTGTATTTTACTTAGGAGAACGTCTTGCACAATTCTTCAATAGCATGAACTTATCTGTAGATTCCCCCACCCTTCACCACCTTTGTGCTAAATAAAGACTTGTCTATATAATGTTCAGAATTATGTGTTTTTCTTGCTGAATACTGAAATAAACCCAATTTTCACTTTAATGGGCTTGTATAGGGTTAGGGTCTCAAAAGACAGAGTGACTTGGAAAATCTGACAATAAGTGAACTTGGTATAGTTAAGATTTTGGCCCTAAGCAGGTGGGCAGACTTTCGCACAACACATTAAACCCAGAATAGACAGCATGCTTGCCATATGAACTATTCCAGGGTTATTTTTAAGAAGGCTGGGGATTGAGAAGGTTCTGGCATGCAGGCAGTGAATGGAGGTTCTGGAACCTTCCTTTTAAAAAAAAAAATCAAACTTCTGTGGCAATCTGGTCATTCATTTCACATTTAAATCTTCCCACCCTGCCCTCTTTCCCAGTGTGCTGTGGAGCATGGCATGGATAAAAAGCTATTTGTGGCACTTCTGTGGGAGAATTATCAAGAGTGGAGTGGGGGAGGAAGATGAGCTGTTTGCCTGAAGATTCTTCCAACAAGTGCCGACCTGTTCATACATTAGCTACCCCAAGGCCAGAACTTGCATTCCCAGGATGTAGCTTGTTTTTCCATTTTAAAAAAAATCACCAAGACTTAAACCTTTGGTTATCTTTGTGTCAGTTGATGCTGAGTGACTTTGTACCTTTGTGAAAGATAGAACAAGTTAAATGTTAATTTTATTATCTTTGAACTAATATAAAAGTGGCATGAATTTGCACACTCCTGCATTAACAGACATGGAGATGGTTTACACAGTGTTTTGGCTTTTTCTGCTTCCTTTCCCCATTGTGGGAGCAGACTGGGAACCCATTTTCATTGCTGGCCCTCTTACTGATGAGATAGTAAGTGGACACACGAGAGCAGCGGCTGTTAATCCGATGGTGGCCCAGTCTGACTGTCATCGACTTTCATTTGCCTCCTTGCCATCCTATTTTGATGAACTTTCCGCAAATGGTGTGACGCACTTTAAGGTTTTTTTGAACTGGACTAACCTTCTTCCCGAGGGAGATGCCCAGAAACCCAATGAGGCAAATGTTGAATGCTACAGACAACTTCTCCAAACTCTCAGAGCTGCTCATCTTAAACCAGTTTTAATTCTACATCAAAACTATTTGCCAAAGTCTTTAGGCAACCGGTTTGCTTCAAGCAAGTCAATGACCTTTGCTGACCTTTTTGCAGAATATGCAGAGTTTTCCTTCTCCGCTTTTGGTAGTTTTGTTGACACCTGGCTCACTTTCAGTGACCTGCCCAAGATCTCGGAGGGACAGCATGATGGAGATGTCCTAGCCCTTCCTCTCCAGGTGTTGGCTTCAGCACATGAGAAGGCATATCAAATTTATCATGAAGAATACGCTTCAGAAGGTAATGAAGGCAGGATGTGTGTATCTTCTGGACTATGTGGAATGAACTTGGGTGGGGAGCGGGGTGGAGTGAATACACTTCCAAGTACTTGAACAATCCAAATTTTCCTCCTCAAACTTCAAGGTTATTGTATGTGTGAGCTGGGGAGCTTCCATTCTAACTTTTCTCTTCAAATTCCTTCACCCATCCTGATCAAATACATGTGATTTCCTTCCTATCTTTTTCCTGAAGCATTCCACTTACCCTCACTGTCTCCATTTTTCTCTGTGATTTGCTGCTGCCTTTAATAAGGTCACCTATTCCCCTTTTTGACTCACTTTTCATTACCAAGATTTATGGCACAACAGGCGAAAGTTATACACAACATCACATAATTCTGAGTGCAATGATTTTCTTTTACCAATTTTGCCTGACAGAGATCAGGATCGGAAAGTGAGAACTTCACTCACCCATTCATTGGTCCATGGAAAGAAGTGTGCAAGCTCTGATCTAGATCAGGACTACAGTGGGACAAAATGGGTGAAGGTCTCCTCTCCGCCTGTTCTTGCTTAAGCTTATGGTGGATCGAGCTTAACCCTCAGAACTGAGCTGAGCCTCTCTGTTGCCAAATCCGGTTTCATCTTTCTGTGTGTGAAACTGCAGCCTTTGAGCCTCCTAATCCTCGTTTGTGACTTCAGCTCCTCCAGCTCCACCACCCTGGCCAAAGGACACCTGCTCTCTTAAATCGCAGGGTTCTTTTTCACCTTTTCACTTGAACAAAGAATGCTCAAGCCAGTTTATGTTCATACAAAGAAAGAACAGCTAAAAATATAGCAACTTGCCCCTCAAATCTCAAAACCGAGCTGTTTCATTAAGCCTTTAGTGCAGATTGCCCCAACATCCTGTCTCCCAGCTGTTTTGGACTACAACTCCCAGTTTCCCCCACCATTAGGGCCAGGGCTGATGGGAGCTGAAGACCAAACCATCTGGAGAGCAGCAGGTTGGGAAAGACTGGCTTAGGGCTAATGTAGCATCATCAGAGGAGAGCTAAATGTAATACATCCAGGTAGTCTAAACAGATGGGCTTCCTCTATTTCCTCTTTTGTATACATTCTCTTCTCCCTCTCCTGCTCCCTTCACAGCACTGGCCTTTAAAATGTAAGTGACTCAGAACCAGGGACCTGGCCATGAGGAGCCACACTCCTTGATGGCACCACCATGTGTGAGAATAGCAGGTGAAGCATAAGAGTTTGTTTCTCTGTGTCGTCTCCCCTCACACCTTTTCCCTCCTCCACCATAAATAGACAACGTGACCATGTGTTTTTCTTTTCTTCTGTCTTTCAGGTGGAAAAGTGTCCATTGCACTGGATATTAGTGATGCTGGACTAGCAACACCAGGATCTTTCTTAGCTTCAGTTCTGGTGATGCATTTTATTTTACTGGGACTTAATGAAGGCATATTTGATGAGGAAACTAAAACTCCGTACCGAAGTGTCATATTAGCCAGTTTGGTCCTCCATCAGCAGGGATACACGTTGGCAAGACAAATATGGCCCACTTGCAGCTTATGCCTCTTTTGCAGCCTATCTGAGGCTGTAAAAAAACTTGGCAGGTTGGTAGGCTTGGGGTTATAAGTTGTGGAGGTGTATTGTAGCTGATTCAGGGACGAAGACTTGCTGGTGCTAAAAATAATAATGGATCCTTTGGGCTTCAGGAACTAGAATAATACATAAAATACCCCAGGAAGTTGCATGTGAGACAGTGGGCTGCATCTACCCTTGCCTGGTGGCACTTTCTCCATGTCTCCAAAATCTGTTCTGGGGTCCCTCAAGCCTCTGGAAAAGGTTTTGGTGGAGACTGCAACAGGGAGGAAGGATGCGTCCCAGTGGTCGATGGCCATGGATACTACCTGCTTGTTCTTAGAGCAGAACTTCCTGTAGGGCCTGTCGCAAGAACCTATTTCATGCAATGCAAAATAAGTGGACTGAATCACAGCCACAGTGTGTGGAGGCATCCAGCAGCCTGAATACCAAAAGAGTAGAGGAAAGATCTGTCAATGGCCGTACGAATCACTCTGTGAAATCACCAAATTCAGAAATGCGATGCTACCAATTGTTAGCAACTAGGAAACCAGGGACAGCAAACGCCTTCCCGTGCAACGTGTGGCCTTCCCAAGTCATCCAACAGGCCACTGTAGGAAGCGGGATTCTGGACAAGATGATCCTCCAGGGCTCTTAATAGTTTTAAAGCCCTAAAAGTTAATGCCCACCCAATGATTAGCTCATTATAGATGCTGCTCCCACATGAAAATATCTGTCTCATGCTGTTGGACAAATGTTTATTTTGCCACATATACGTGCTGTGGGAATGTCCATGCAGAGAGATTGCCTGTAAAAGGGGAGTCTAAGAGTTAAATCCAACACAGCACACAGCCATGCAAGCTACGTATATAACTATATGCAGGCCTTTGACACCAGCTGTTTCATCTACCCCTGGTTTTTAATATATGTGATGAAGGAGGCTTCATAATTTAACAATGACACTGAGTGGGGGAATGCATGGGAGCTTGTGCATTCCAAGATTAGTTGGATTATATGTGTACATATATATATATGTATATATATATATGATCCATATATATATACTGTATATGAGCGTGTGAGAGAATGTCTGATGTGGCCATTTGCATAGGAATTTGCAGATAGTAGACTATTTTTCTCACATACATTGGAAGGAAAGCGAAATCTGATATATCTGTGAAATCTAAAATGTCATACATTATTCTTAAGATCAGGATTTTTTGCCTTTATTTTGTGCATTTTGCATATTATGTTTGCCCTTTGCATGTAGATCTCAGAGCAACTATCACATCTGCAAAAGCTGGAGGAAAAGTGATTTTTTTCTCAAGTTAAGAATATTACCTAGTTACAAAAAATGTTTCCTCTTAACGAATTCTTTTTTCCACTATGCTTCTATTCCCATTAAATTTCATCAATCCAAGCTATCAAATGTAGCTAAACACATTCACAGTAGTGCTATACTCTGGCTCCAAGTATAAAGTAATGCATTGCCACAAGCAAGAGTTGCGAACAGTTGTTATCTCCCCACTGATAACACTCTTATTTTGTTCCAGAACTCTCTAGATTTCCTCTCTCTCAGCCTGCAGTACAACTGTAAAAGGGAGGAAGGCATCAAAAGCCTGCTGAATGAGCTACAGGTAATCCTGAGCAAGGGCCCCGACACTTTGCTTGTGCCCTGTAAAGACTCTCTTGGATGATCTCAGTCATGCAAGCACAATTCCTACTCTATTCATCAAGGTTTTATTGTCCTGATTAAATGGCACCTATTTCTGGGGGTTTGGAGCTGCCTCTCCATTCAAGAACCTTTTAGAAGCAGTAAATGCAAGGAAGGACTGGACCCTGTGATTAACTCTGTGAAATGCACAGGCAGGAGCCGGTCTAGAAATCCACACGAACACTGCACAGTAAATTGCATTCCGTGTGCTTCCATAGATGTTCCGCTATGTTCCATCGGGTTTGCATCGGGGAAAGCGTGTGTCGGAGCTCAGCCTTAACCTGGCTTGTACAGTGTATGGCAAAGGTCCACCATTCGGGTCCTTCCTGACCAAACAGCATTTAACTCTAGGCCATTTCTCTGCTTTTGAAAAATGAGTGAGCATAAGCTGTTATCTCCACTGGTTAAAGTTCCCCATCCCTGATCTAGAAGGATGGAAGCAGTTTTTCCTCACACTAGAATTGCAGTCTGTATCTGCTGAAGTATATACAGCTCTTAACAACAACTCCTCCTTCTAGTCATTCTCCCCAAAACTTTTGGTTTCATATTGTTATATTGAAAATAACAGGTGCCAGGACTATGTGCCTTGTGCAGCTCACCCAGTTCACGGAAGCTCTTTTTCTTTTCTTCCTTGCTTTACAGCTTGCCACAGATGGTGCAGAAGTTTTGTTCTTTAGCCTAAAGTTCTATGAATGTCCTTCCATGCAAGAAAACAAACTTGCGGCAGTAGTGTCCATGTTCAGTGGTGAGTGTCCTGTGCAGGGAGGAAAGGTGGCCTTGTGCATGTGCCTGGGGGAATAAATTAAATATGATTGAGGCCTTACTGTGGCTCATTTAAGCCACTGCCATCTAAGAGAGACCTCCCGATGGGTTTCAGCCTGGGCCAGCCCTACCAGTAGGCGGAGAGAGTTGGCCACCTGGGGCAGTAGAAGGAGGGAGGCACGGAAGAGTGGTGAGCTGTCAAACAGAACCTGCATACTTCATGCATCCTTGGGGGAAATGGAGAATGTTGTCCTATTGCCAGTGAGGAAGTAAGGGCCAACAGTAACTCCAGCCAGTTTCTGTACATGGAATGGACCGAGGTGGGAGGAACACAGGAAAAACATTTCAGGCGGCGCTGGCTAGAACTGGGATTCAACGGAACATGGTGGGGGCTGCTGAGTCCATTGTGGGTAGAGCTGTGTACCGCACTGAATTTTAGTCCAGACTTAAAAGAGCTGTCCATGGTGGTGGGACCTAGGCTCACCACCATCCATAGCTCCTTAAAAACTCTGGAGTGGACACACAGGCCCACCCAAACTGAAGCCACCAGCTTTCACTCACTCAAAGGGACTGCAGGGTGGCACCAGCTAAGGGAGGCTCTTGCATATCTTTTCATTCCATTGATGTTTTTCAGCTCTTTATGAAGGCCAGGGATGGGCAATGGGATACGACGTGAGTGACTTCCTCGACAGCTCATCCATCCAAGCAGCACGGTACAGAATGTTTATTTTTGATGTCGATTCATTTGGGTTTTCAGAATCTATACTTTTTGTGCTACTAAGATTGCAGTCATTACTCGGGAGTAAACAGTAGGACCTATTTCTAAGGAAATGTGCATAGTTTTTACTAGTAAAAGGGTGCCTAAGAGCACTTTTTGGACACTTATTTGTGATTGTATTTCATTATAAAAATTATTTTGTATTGTTTTGAAATCTTGTTGTTCTCCCACTAATTTGGTTTGGTAGTTTCAGGAGTCTTGTGTATGGTGCGATAGAACTGTAACCCATTGTTCTCTTAAACCAACTGATTTCGGAACATGGGCATCTAAGAAAGATGGATACTTTGTAAGAAAAAAACAGGATATAAATCTAATAAATAAATGGGCATAGGTTATCAGAAGATCCCACATCTTTCAAGTCAATGTGACAGCCAAAATGCTTTGCTCACCTGAAATGGTGGCCTTTAGGGACTCTCTTGCTCGCTCACAAAATGGCTGCTCTGATAGGCATGGCCGGCCATGCAACACTCCTTTCCCAGAAGGCAATTGATGGCACCAAAAGAAAAGTGACGAGCTAGAAATGCAAATCCAGGACATAGCTGGGAGCTGAGTTCCAAAACACAAAGCTACTCTTCGGAATGCTAATCAAGATGGCACTGGGGAGCAGCCCTTCCCTGAATAATATGCCATTCTCCTGGTTTAAAAAGCTGCTCTTAAATAACATCGTCTTAAGGAATTAAATAAAAATCAGGTGGGGAAGGGAGACTGGGAGGCACCAGGAGAAGTGCCTGTGGGTACTGGAGACCCTGGGTGAACTTCAGCATACTCAGTTTGGTTGGGCACCACGTGTGTCACCATGGCAGCATGGCAATTGCCAAAGTGCTGCTTCTAGCCGTGCATCACTTCAGTTGTGTACAGAAGACGAGCTCATAAAGCATTGCCTGGAACACATTGTGGGATTCCCAGTGTCTATGGTGGACATATTTTTCACTTGGATGTCAGAGAATGATTCTTCTACTTTGAGGTCCTGAACAGGAACTTAATGACCATCCATGTTTTATTATCAATATATTCCCATATTCTGATATTCATCATATTCTCAATATGTTCTCATGTTCTTGTACATTTTAAAGCTCCTACACAGAAAATGAAGCCATCCAGCCATCACCTATCAACCAACTTTCATCGTATCAAAGGACTTGGCAAACATTTTCTAACCAGTCTGCATTGGAAAGAGACTCCTTTTTGCAGGACGTTTTCCCCAGTGGCTTTCTTTGGGGCACATCAACAGGATCTTTCAATGTTGAAGGTGCCTGGGCAGAAGATGGGAAAGCAGAGAGTATTTGGGACCGATATGGGCATCAAGGCCACGCCTACATGAATCAAACAGCCGATGTTGCATGCGACAGCTACCACAAGACAGAGTATGACATTTACCTGCTGAGAGGTCTTCAGCCAAAGATCTACAAGTTTTCTATATCATGGCCTAGGATTTTTCCCAATCTGAATAAGAACAGCCTGAATTCTCGAGCCGTGGATTACTACAACAAACTCATAGACAGCTTGGTGGATTCTGGTATTGAACCCATGGCGACCTTGTTCCACTGGGACTTGCCACAAGCTCTGCAGGAACTCGGTGGCTGGCAAAATGAGAGCATCATCAGTGCCTTTCAAGACTATGCAGATTTCTGCTTTACAACTTTCGGCGATCGGGTTAAATACTGGATTACCTTCCATGAACCCTGGGTCATCAGCTATGCTGGCTATGGCACTGGGCAGCATCCTCCAGGAATTGTTGATCCAGGAGTGACATCCTATAAGGTACAAAGAACAGTAGCTCAGTAGCATAAGCATAAGTTATGGGTAGCCCTGAGTCCATGAAAGGCAAAGTAGTAGCGGTTGCCCCTAGGGGGAGGCAAGTTTTCCTCCACAGACTGCAGGTAGGGTTAATACAGGCCTAATATCTGATTATCGGAAGGGTTCAGTGGGACGACAGGACTTGAAGGTTAAAACCAAATTATAATGTTCCAATCACAGTGGTCTCCATAAGATTTGGAATGCAATTCCCTTTAGCCACAACCAGCATGGATGAGGGCCAGAACGGAAGTTGTAGCCCTAAACATCTACAAGGTGCCATGCTGGGGCAGGCAGTTGTGATCCCTCGCATCAGGCATGTGAGTGTGCAGCGTGTTGGCCCCTGCACTGCAGGAGTCCGCGGAGTTTGGCTTTTGATTTAGAGACAAGGCAGCACAAGAGTAAAACATCTCCATTGTCTAGAATGCGCCTTTTGATTTTGAAATTACCTCTCTTTGTCTTTCTCCCCCTCCTTAACATGGGTGTATGAGATAAAAGGCACTTTCCAGTATTCCCCTGTGGGGCATTGAACCTTTTATCTTACAATGATTTCAAAAGGATGATTAGGTTTTGTAATGGCTTCCAAGGGATTATATAATATTAGCCTTAAGCAGGTGGTACAATAAGAACAGGCACACCATACTATTCCTTGAGTAAACTGTGAGGATTTAGTAGCTATACATCAGAATAATGGAGTAGATGTCAGGATGACCATACAAGGCAACCCCAAGTGGTGATTTGAACTAATAGATCCCATGTGACCACCCATCCTATTACTTCCTTCCCATGAAATTGCTAGAAGCGTAGTTCCCAAATACTTGTAGCAGACTGACGGGTGCTAGACAGTCCCAGGTCAGCCTTCACTGGGAGAGATTCCTGCCATACGGATGAATATTATGTATGAACTTAATTTTAGTTTCTCATCTTGGAATGCTTTGACTTCCAAAATAGGGGGTTGGAATGGGATCTTGAGTGAGTTGTAATAGTCTTAACAGGTTTCTATTCTAAGTGGCATCAGCAGCACCTGTAGAGTGCAATCCTGGCAGGTCTACTCAGGAGTCAGCCCAAGTGAGACTTACTGCCAGGGATGTAGTGGTGAAGGTTGACAGTAGGTGCCAGGAGCAGATGCTGAGGCTGTCTGCATGCGAGCACGTGCTGTGCCAGCGAGCTGTGCTCAGTGCAGTGATTTCTCTCTCTTCCTCGGCTTCCAAAGACAGCGCATGTGATTCTCAAGGCCCATGCCCAAGTCTGGCATCTCTATGACAGCCGCTATCGTCCCAAGCAGCACGGCAAGGTGGGAATAGCGCTGAATTCTGACTGGGCTGAACCCAAGACACTGGGGAGTCCGGAGGATCTGAAAGCAGCAGAACGGTACTTGCATTTCATGTTGGGCTGGTTTGCTCACCCCATATTCGTCAACGGCGACTATCCCGATGTCCTGAAATCCCAAATCAAGGAGAAGAACCAGCAGTGCTCTGCCTCAGTTGCTGAACTCCCCGTCTTTACCGATACGGAGAAGAGGTCTGTGAATGGGACGGCAGACTTTTTTGCTCTCTCTCATTACACTTCCCGGCTCGTCAGGGCTGCATCTAACCTCAGCTGCACCCCAAGCTACACGACTATTGGGGGCTTTGCTGCAGACGTGGACCCTTCTTGGCCCGCCACTGCTTCACCTTGGATCTACGCGGTGCCCTGGGGCTTGAGGAGGTTGCTGCACTTTGTCTCCCAAGAGTACACAGGGAACAGGATCCCCATTTATATAGCAGGAAATGGCGCCCCCACAGATGACGGAAGCGACCTCATCAATGATACTATGAGACTGGATTACTATCGTCTCTACATCAACGAGGCTTTAAAAGGTACAAAGGCTTATTAGGCGTTGGTTGGTTGGCTGGCTGGCAGTGTTTCTATACTGCCTTGTAATCAGAAACTCTCACAGATTATGCATTGAGCGTGCAAGAGATTGGAATTAGCCTGGGAGTTTGGTGCCATTAATTCAGCAGGTACCACTGCCCTTCCTGAGCTGTTCTCCCACAAGATTTTCCACAATCTTGTCAATCATGAACTATATGGTAAATATCACGCCCTGCCACAGGGGGAAAAGGGTGTATAGAGAAGAAATGGCAAATCAACAGGCAAAAGGACTTTTGATACGGTGATGTGCTGGGATAAAACTGACTGGGAATCTGACCTGGTGGACAGAAATAAAGTCTGCAAAATTCAGAATGTATTTAAGGTAGCCGTTCCACTGACTGGCATAGATATACTGCTTAAATACAATAAATCAGGTGAGGTGGTCTGTGTTCGTTGGCTTCTCTGCTTGCCTGGATCCTGCCTCTTGTCATAAGGACATTAGAAAAGCTGTGCTGGGTCAGACCGAGGGTCCATCCGGTCCGGCATCCCATTCATGCCACGGCAAAGCAGCTGCCCGCAGGATCCCTCCAGCAGGATGAGCACAACAGCTCCCTCCTCCTGAAGCTCCCCAACGACTGGTGCACCTGAGCATGCAGCCCCCGGCCCCAGGAACAGCACATTCCATCCAGGCTGGTGGCCACTGGTCGGTTTCTCCTCCATGTATTCTCCCAATCTCGTTTGAAAGCCATTCAGACTGGTTGCCATCGCGCTTTTCTTTAGCAGGGAATTCAGCTTTGGAAAGGCACACTTCCTGCTGATAGAACTGATTCCATAAGCAGAATAGGGAGGAGGGTGATTTTCACCCATGAGCCCTCAACATTTGTTCCAGAAGTTTGGGGGACCATTTGGAGTAGATTTTCAAGGGGCTGCAGGAGAAAGCTGCACTGCAGGAGCACATTGCCTCTTGTGCAGTGTTGGATTTTGCCCCTGTTTGTTCTTTGAGGTCACGTAAGTGAGAGAACACTGCTGCATGGCGCACCAGTGGGAAGTCTCAGGAAGGGAAAATTATTAGCAGACACCATAAGGGCAAGCCAAGTGGCCGGTATACTCGGCAAGCTGAAGATTAGTGAATACCTAGTTGGTGACACTGGAATGCTCGGTCAACATGGCTTCAGCTCAGTGAATTAGTAGGTTCAGTTAGCTTATAAATGGCCCTTTTGTAGATTGTTTCTTCTATCCAAATGGTGTTCTGAATTTGGAGATAAACACTAGTGCTAGCATAGAGTCAGGATGACATGGATGACACAATACAAATTCACATCACTGTGATACTGATGGGAAGACAGCTGAGTTTTTACTACATGGTGTACTTTACAGGATTGAATGAAAATCTGATTAAGTTGTCTCTTTTCCACTGTGACAGCTGTAAAACTGGATGCTGTTGATGTTCGGTCATACATTGCCCGGTCTTTGATTGATGGCTTTGAAGGCACTGCAGGTTACAGTCAAAGGTTCGGCTTTCACCATGTGGATTTTAAAGATGCAAACAGACAAAGGACACCAAGAGAATCTGCATATTTTTTCTCTACTGTTGTTGAAAATAATGGATTTCCTAGAATGATTAGAAGAAAATCTCTTCAGCCACTCAGAAAGGATGTTTTCAACCTCAAAAGATTGCCCAGTTTACCAGCTTCAGAGGTTCCCTCAAAAGCAAAGGTGGTTTGGGAAAAATTTTCTAACCAGACTAAGCTGGAAAGAGATATATATTTTTACGGCACTTTCCCAGAAAATTTTCTGTGGGGTGTTTCCACTTCTGCCTACCAAATTGAAGGAGCTTGGGATGAAGATGGGAAAGGACCTAGCATATGGGATAACTTTACCCACATCCCAGGGAATATCCAGAACAATAGTACAGGAGATATAGCTTGTGACAGCTACCACAAAGTAGATGAGGACCTCTACTTATTGAGAGCCTTAAGGGTAAACAGCTATCGTTTCTCCCTCTCATGGCCTCGGATTTTTCCAGATGGAAGAAACCGTTCCATAAATAGCTATGGTGTTGATTATTATAACAAACTGATTGATGGTTTAGTGGCCCAAAATATCACACCAATGGTCACACTCCACCACTGGGATCTGCCCCAAGCTCTGCAAGACATCGGTGGCTGGGCAAACCCTGTGATGGTTGAACTATTTGACAGTTTTGCAGACTTCTGTTTTCAGACCTTTGGAGACAGGGTCAAGTTCTGGATTACGTTCAATGAGCCTTATGTGATTTCTTGGCTGGGCTATGGAACGGGAGCTTTCCCGCCAAATCTCAAAGATGATCCAGGCTATGCACCCTACAAAGTTACTCACACCATCGTGAAGGCACATGCCAGAGTCTACCATACGTATGATCAAAAATATAGGAAGAGCCAAAAGGGTTTCATTTCACTGAGTCTCATCATAGACTGGGTGGAGCCAAAGATGCCAAATGAGCCCCGGGATGTTGAAGCAGCCGATCGCTTCCTGCAGTTCACAGGAGGATGGTTTGCCCATCCAATTTTTAAAAACGGTGATTACCCAGATGCCATGAAATGGACAGTGGGGAACAGGAGTGAGCTGCAGAAACTGCCATCTTCCCGCCTTCCAGTTTTCACAGAAGAAGAGAAAAACTACATCAAAGGCACTGCAGATGTCTTCTGCTTGAACTATTACACAGCCAAGATTATAAAGCACAAGACCACCCGACTGAAGCCACACTCCTACGAGGATGACCAGGAGCAGGCCCTGCAGACCGACCCTTCTTGGCCCGCCTCAGCACTGAAGGATGTGCGCGCAGTGCCCTGGGGGCTGCGCAGGTTGCTCAACTGGATCAAGGAGGAATATGGCAACCCCCCCATTTACATTACTGAGAATGGGGTTGGCAGAAGAACCGCGTCTGATGTTGACGACACCAGCAGGTTCTTTTTCCTCAAAACCCACATCGATGAAGCTTTGAAAGGTATGGATGTTGCAAGAACTAAAAAAAGACTATACCAGAATGCAGCCTCATGTGTGCCAAAGCTGCCCGTTCTAGATATCCTGTCCCTGCCGATTGCTAGCTCTCATGGCCTTGGATTTTTCCAGATGGGAGAAATCATTCCATAAATAGCTATGGTGCTGATTATTATAACACACTGATTGCTGGTCGAGTGGCCCTGGAAGTAAGTCCCATAAAGCCCAGTGGATTTTATTTCTTTTTTATATAATAAGGTTTATTCAAAATTTTAGTCCTAAAAACAAAGAAAAACTAAAAACAACATCAATCATCAGAAACATTGAGCCTGCTGGGTCAGCCCCCACATTTTTTTTCCCATTTATGATAAGATAGAAACATAGTCTATACAAAGTCCCGTTTCTCTAGCCAATAATAAGAAAGAGTCCCAAGTTTGATAGAAGTCAGTATCTTCTTTCTCCTTCAATGACAAAGTCAGTCTATCCATTTCCACACAGTCCAAGATCTTTTTTAGGATCAGTTCGTCGGTGGGTGATTCTTCACTTTTCCAGTGTTGAGCAAATGCAATCCTCACCGCAGTGATTACATGTAAAATCAAGTACATTTCTTGTTTACTAATATCAGCAGGTATAATGCCTAATAAGAAAATTTCAGGTTTAAAAGCTGAAGATTTTTGTAAAATTTCCTCAAGCCATTTATGTATTTTAATCCAATTCTTTTTCGCATTATCGCAAGTCCACCACATATGATAGAAAGTACCAAATTTATGTTTACATTTCCAACATCCATTTGACATATTTGGAAACATCTTAGCTAATCTATTTGGCGACAGATACCATCTATAAAACATTTTATACAGGTTCTTTTTATACGAAGAAGCTAATGTTACCTTAATATTTCTCTCCCTCAGCTTTTGCCATTTTTCTAATTCAATATTATATCCAAAGTTTTGTGCGCATGTTATCATGGTTTCCTTAACCTGTTCATCTTCCATTCTCCTATCGAGTAAAACGTTATATAGTCTTTTAATCATTTTCTCATCTGATTTAAACATCACCTGATCAAATGCTGTTAAGTCCTTATAAAAATCTCACGTTTTATAGTCTTTAGCATATCTCGATTGTATCGCCACCTTATGCCGCCAAGAGATATTAGATCTTGTGTTTCTTGAGTCAATTTCAATCCTCCATCCTTATCCAAAATGTCAGCATATCTTACGATCCCTTCAAAGTTCAGTGCATTTGGATATACCAAAGCTTCCATAGGTGAAAGCCATCTTGGTAATTTATTATACAGTTTTGTCTTTAACTTTTCCCACACCGACATTAATGATTTTCTAATATAGTGACTTAAAAAAGAGCCATGTAGCTTAGCCTTTTCATACCACATATAAACATGGCAGCCCATTTGCAAATCATGCCCTTCAAGGTACAAGATTCTCTTATTTCTTAAAGTTATCCATTCTTTTAGCCACGTTAACACAGAAGCTTGATTGGATTTTACTTCTGAGTGGACATTCCAAAGATTCTACTATTGATGACCTTGTATGATTGAAGGGGAAGTGCTCCAGGCTCCAGGTTTTTGAGCTCTTGGACAGGACACCCCCCTCCATAAATGAGGCTACCTATTCACGACCCATGTTGCTAACAGCTTTTATCCCTCATCCACTTTCCCATCATTTGCTTGGCAGGCAAAGGGCCAGCAAGCGAAGAGGCAGTGGCATCTACTGCTTCTTCTCAATACTGTTATTATCTAGGCCAGAGGACAGTGAAGAAGCAGGCTGCATGGTGAAGTGGAGGAACAGCTCCAGGGACTCTAGGTAGTGGACCCCTATTGGGGTGTGGTCCCTAGCAGATGCTCAGCTATACTAACCATGGTGGAATAGTGTTTTGTTTTGTTTTGTTTTCTCAATTACATTTTCTTGCTCTTCTGCCAAGACAATGGATGCTTCAGATAGCTCTATTTTGGTTTTGTGTTCTTCTAGCCTACAAACTGGATGGGGTGAATCTCCGAGGCTATGTAGTTTGGTCTTTAATGGATAATTTTGAATGGCTACATGGTTATGAGCCAAGATTTGGTCTGCACCAGGTGGACTTTGAAAATCCAAACAGACCACGGACTCCAAAACGTTCCGCCATATATTATGCTGAAATCATACATCAAAATGGAATCCCACTGCCAAAAGGAGAGGAGTTCCTTTATGGAGAGTTTCCAAAGAATTTCTTTTGGAGTGTGGCATCAGCAGCTTATCAGGTTAGCAAACAGTGCTTTTATATATGGATGAAAATTGTTCGATCGTGGAAGCTATCCAAAACCTTCATTGTGTGTCACAGACTGTCAAGTGCCTATTGTATCAGCGTGTGCTGATTCATGCAATCAATTGCTTTTCCCTTCAGAATTGTAAAAGTCAACTGCAATTTATATAATTTTAGTGGCATAGGATATTTTGCATATTTTTCTTAACTCAGTATATGATTGATGAGCTAGAAATAGAAAAAAAGAGTCCTGCACAGCAGAGCTTGACAAGAGAGTAGAGATTCATCAAAAGTTGTGTGCTTTGTAAAAATGGCACACATATTTGTGCACTTTCCTGTAATTTTCTGGACAATTCCAGGTAGTTTTTAAAAAGTGAGTTGCAAGTTTACACCATTTGGAGGACTGCGTTCTGCTGTACCATCCACAAGTTGGATTCATACAACTCTTAATTGCTTTTAAGAAGGGCAGATTTCTCTGACATTCCTAGGTGCTCTTTCATTCCCTGTGCCTGAACTACCTCCCAGGCTTGTTGTGAGGGTATAAATGGGGAGGGATCTACATCACCTTGTGCTCCTTGGATGAAGGATGGGGTAAACATGCATTAAATTGTTCATTTCATTAAAGATTGAAGGAGCCTGGAGAGCTGAAGGAAAAGGCCTCAGCATTTGGGATCAGTTTGCTCACACTCCTTTGAAAATTAGCAATGACGAAAATGGGGACATCGCTTGTGACAGCTACCACAAGATGGAGGCAGACTTGGCTATGCTGAAAGAACTGAAGGTCACTCATTATCGCTTCTCCATCTCCTGGCCTCGCGTTCTTCCTGATGGGACCACCAAGCATATAAACGAAGCTGGCCTGAAATATTATGAGAAGTTTGTGGACTCTCTCCTTGCTGCCAATATCCAGCCTCAGGTAAACCCAACTGCCAGATCCATACAATCCAAATGTAGGTGGCAGAGGTACACAAAAAATCAGGTTTTAAATTAGATCAGCCTTTTCCAACCTGGTTGCCTCCAGATGTGTCTTTCTTGGACTGAGTGTTGTATCCCCGCTTGCTGTGGCTGGTTGAGGCTATTAGGTTAACTGATGAGTAAACTTTAGGGGGGCAGAGGCTGAACCCAGCCTTCTGAGGTCCCTACCTGGGCCCCTGGGTTCCCTGTGTGGCTATGCCCCATTCCTCTGCCTTTTCCCCAATACCAGTCATTGGGGTTTAGGTGTCCTTCTTGCCCATTTTGGAAGCCTTGCAATACCTCTCCCAAGGCATTGTTTTTGGCAGCAGGAACTTTACACGGTGATGCACTGCTTGGCTCTTTGCCCCTCCCGCTCTGCCTTCAGCCCCTGTGGCGTCAGAATCACCCTTGCCCACCAGCATCTCCAAAACTGCAAGTGGTCCTCCGGGGGAAAACAGCTTCCTGCCCCTGCTCCAGTCCCAGAATGTGAATGTCTCTGTTTCCTGCTGTTCTGAGGTCACTAGCTAATTAGACAAAATGACTGGTGTGTTTAATGCATTTCTCCTCCTCCAGGTAACCATGTATCACTGGGACCTGCCTCAAGCCCTTCAGAACATTGGAGGGTGGGAAAATGAGACCATCATCCAGAGATTTAAAGAATACGCGGAGCTCCTTTTTCAAAGGCTGGGTGAGAAAGTGAAATTTTGGATAACCTTGAACGAGCCCTATGTCATTGCTAATCTTGGTCATGGTTATGGAGTATCTGCTCCAGGTAAGGCATCTGACATTTTGCTAATTTTTCTGTTCCTGTTTGCAGGAGGTGGAATGTTTGGGCAAATCAAGCAGCATTGCTTATACTTTCTTCCGATGTTATGAGAGAGCAGTTGCACGGTTACGGCTGGGCACCAATGCAGAATCTGAAACATGGGCTCTAGTCACATATAGTTCTCTCCATGCTGCATGTCTGGAACATGAATGGGAAGTGCAAGGCTTTGGCTGTTCCAAGGAGCATTCAAACAGTGCAAAAGTATTTTAGCAGAAAGTTTAAGCTTCCTAAACAGAAGCACTCTGGGCTTCCATTGTGGGCTTGATGTGTTTTCTTGTATCGTTTACAACGTAAGACTGATTTCAGTGCCTCCCTCCTCTCCCTGTGTGCAGAACTGCTCTGCCAGGCCAGCTGAAACTTGCCCAGCCATTCTTCCGAAGCCAGCGGTGGGCAACTTGCGGTTTTCTGCATGTTGTCCAACTGCAATTCCCATCCGCTGTAGCCAGCAGAGCCAATGGTGAGCGGTCATGGGTGTGGGTCCAGAGGGCTGCCAGCTGGCCACCCCTCCTAAGTAGAGGAACCCTTCCACTAGTCCCTTGCCGCAGTCTGTAGCCTGCCGCCTCCCCAGGCATCCTGCACGCTGCTCTCCCTCTAGCGCTGCGTGTGGCTGGGAGGGCGGGCCTTGAGGAGCTGGCCTGCATCAGTGCAACCTTAAGTGGCAGCAGGGCCAGCTTGCCTGCAGTCTGAAAGCGTCGACTGGCATGGTTTTGCTGCAGTTGAATGAGGAATGGATTCTGAATGGGGATTCCTGTGTTTCCGAGGACCCGCTCCGAACTGGGCTGGGCCCATAATTCGTAGCAGTGCTGAATAACATGCAAGGTATCCCTGACTGCCCCATTAGCCCGCGGCCACCGAGGTTATGTTTTTGTACGAAGCTTGCCTCAGGGCGGTGAGGTGTTGTTGTTTTTTTTAACACTCTGCATATCTTTTCTTGCAGTAGTTTTAAAATAGCTTTCCTTTAATGTTTGAGTATGACAGCTTTAATCTTGGCAAAATGGTGAGAGGAAACTGGTCTGTAGATACTATTTGTACATCTGCATAAATGGCCATGGAAGTAAAGTTGTTGCTTCTGTGAGTTCTTTATGCTACCAAACATGTGGTCAGTGTGATGATGAGAGATGCCTGCTAAAAGAGGGAGATTTTTTGACGCATTGCTTAACGGTTTTTCTTAAAGAAATCTAAATAGCATAGAAGAGGGGGGAAATTAAAAATGGGGTCATTAAGACCTACCATGAATTGTTGCTTCACCTGAGTCCAGTAATGCAGTGCTACTCATTTCCAATGCCACTGTCTTCCTAGGCATCTCTTCCAGACCGGGCCGAGCCCCTTATATAGTGGGGCATAACTTGATCAAGGCCCATGCAGAAGTCTGGCACCTCTACAATGAAACGTACCGCCCCAGGCAAGGAGGTCTGGTCTCTCTTGCCATCAGCGTAGAGTGGGCGGAACCAAGGAACCCTTCCAAGCAGGAAGACCGCGATGCTGCTAGGAGATACGTCGAGGTAACATGACGGCTCTGCATCCTGTAGCCCCTGAAGAGGTTGGATCACAACTCCCCTCATCTCTGACCACTGGATTTTCTGCATGGAAATTGTAGTCTTCCAAAACTTGGGCCCCTGACGTTGGGGAAGGCTATAGTGTAAAGGAAGTACTTGCATATTTATAGCGGCTCTGCTTTGTCTGCGTGCATTTATTGACATTACAATGTATTGTGGCAAAATGGTATCCTGCTTGAAAAGGGGAAGGAGCCATAGAGGTTCAGCAAGAAGTGCTGCTACAAAAATGTTGCTTTTTAATTAATACCTATTTCTTTCACTACCCTAGTTCTTTGCTGGTTGGTTTGCCCATCCTATTTTCAAAAATGGAGACTATAGTGAGCTGATGAAAAGGAGAATTCAAGAAAGAAGCAAGGGAAAATCACGGTATTTATTTGGTGAAAACATTTTTGCATTATACTTCCATTAAAACAGCTCCTTGATGAGCTTATATACAGCCAGAAAAGCAAGGCAGGCCCCATCCACAGGCCAACCATCAAAACCGACCAGCGTAAGAGAAAGGGCACGGTGCTTGCAGCGAGCAGAATGGAGAGACGGCATCTCATGCAAGCCCCGAACAGGTTGGTCAGGGTGGCTTGTGCTGGGCTGATAAGCCACCCTGGCAACCCGTGGCTTGTAGCTGGAGTTGTTTTACCCACGATTGGAGGGTGTGCCATTCAAACCCAGATTACTACACCCATTGTGAGCCAAGGCCAACTGCAAATGAGCCAGTTGGCAAAAACAGCAAAATCCCCTTGCTGCTCTTGCCAAGGGACTCGTGGGTGAGCGCCAGCGCCAGCCGCCCACACAATGCCCGAGCAGCACTTGAGGTGGCTGTCAAAAGTTTTGCCCCTCTCTGCCCCTGCAGTGGGGCACACTGGCAGGACTAGCCCTGCTGCCATTGTGAATCTCTTTGTGACAAAGCCTTCCTTCCTCCTGCAGTGTCCCCTGGGATACTGGAAGGGAGCCCAAAGCAGGCGGGGGTGGGCTCGGTGTGGCTTGTCCTGCCATGTGGGGTAACATGTTGTCTGAAACCCACCCAGAGACAGAGCAGGGGGAATAAATGGACTGCTGGGAGAGGGGGGAAGTGTTTGGTTTCTGTAAAATAGGGGAGCGTGTGTGCATGTGTTCAAAGGAGCTGTTCGATATGTTAGACTTCCGGCCGCACCTCTGCCTTGTGCCCAGTCTTTTCGGCAGGTGGCTTGTCCTCTGTGACCAGCCACACCTCTCCTAGCAGGCATTTTTTGCATTCCCATGGCAATTTCTCAAATTGGTAAAGGCGCTCATGGGCCCAAACAGTTTGCACAGCCCCGGATGGGGGCAAGAGCCTGTGCAGAACAGAGAAGAACAGCTCATTCCAGCCTTCTCCTGCCGAGCTCCTGCCCACCACTTGACCCACTGTAAAAGGTGTCCGAAGCAAGCCTTCTCCTCTTGGGCAAATAGAGGCATGCAAGCAGCTCAAGTCCACTACCCTTTGTGATGCAGGCTCCCCGAATTTACCGAGAGTGAAAAGCGGCGGATTAAAGGCACCTATGACTTCTTTGGCCTGAATCATTACACCACAATTCTAGCCTACAACTTGAACTACTCTGCTCTTATCACATCCTATGATGCCGATAGGTAAGCTTGCGTCATACTGCATCGAAGCATGCCTTCTCTTCTGGAAGAAACACTTCTGTCTCTCGGTGCCTGAATACAAATAACCAACAGCATATGAAAATGGGTGTGCTTGTGTTTAGGAAGAGAATACTAGACTTCATGTTTGCTTGCCAGGGCAGCCAAAGAGAACATTCTGCAAGCAGCGGTCATCACGGAGCCTCCTTTAATGGCTTGGAGTGCTGGTCCATTTCCTAGATACTGCACCTTGCAGTTCTGCCGTATTTCTGGGTACATTTTCAGCAGCACTCTGCTAGCCTACTGTCAGACAGACCTCATGACCACTAGCCCAGCTTCTGCTGTGAGAAACATCACTGGGACTCTAATCATTGGATGTAATTCAATATATGTACCATAACACTGCATAAAAGCTGGCAAGGGCTTTACCGTATGTGTGTGGGGGGAGAGTGTGCATGTGTGTGCGTGCACGCTCATTCCTAAAATCAACCGTGTGAAAGGGAAGGCTGCCAGTGAGGTGGGTGGGTGGGTGAGAGGGGAGCAACTGCAGTGACAGGAGGTTGGCCTACTTGAGCTGCTCAAGTACTTCCAGGGGAAGCACAGCAGTTCTAGGGCTGCAATTAGAAATTTATTTCAGGATGGCCTCCCCTGTGGAGTAACATATCCCCCACTGGAGGTGCCTTCTGTCCCTATCCTATTATTTAAAAAGGATAGGCTAAACATACACATGGTAGGCATGTCATGAGTGAAGCTGGCTGGAGCTGGGGGTCAGACTAGATGGCCTGAGAGACCCCTTTTGACTCCCTCTGCTTCTATGTTTCATACATCAGTATGGTTGGTCCAAGGCCTACACATCCTTTTTTGTATTCTTGGACAGGGCTATTAATAGATCACATAAAGATGCTCTTCTGTTAACAGACTTGAAAACTGGGGCTTTGATCCAGAGAACTACTGGTGGAAAGGGATTGGTCAAAGGTGACTTTCTCTCCCTCTACCACATCGCAGTACCCATGCCCCAAAGTTTCCAGAGGGCTTGGGGAGCATCCTGAATGATGTGGGGGAATGAAGGGAGATGGATTACTGAAAATCAGGAGAAAGCATCTTTCAACAGAAAGCCTCCTTCTGCCAACTGCCTTCCCTTGTGATTCTGTGAATGCTGCTGGTTAGGCTATTGAAATACACCTTGTATGCAGACTTTGCAAACAGAACACTTTCTAAAGTTTCAAGATTCTTCCAATTCATCTAAATTAAACCTTTTAATGCCATGTTAAAATTACAATCTGGTCTAGATTTTTCAGATGAAATAATACTTTGGAAGGTGAGGATAGGTGACAGGAAGACGTTGATTGGTAATTTTTCATGGTGCTAGTCAGCATCATCCAGTGCCTCTGTTATCCTCTAGCCATATAAAAACCTTGTGTGGTACACTGAGCAACCATTTGCCATGTCCGAACCCAGGACGCTGGGTGCTGCATCACACCGATCTGGCCCAGCCACCTGGACAAAAGCTGTTATTCCTTGGTTTTGTTGGACTCTAGTATAAACAGCAGGCTGTGGGGGATGGATGCACATCAATTTTGTGGCGGGCTGTGGAAGCAGCAGCCCAGGCCTGTTCTCTTTTGCAGAGGTGTGGCCTCCGTAACAGACCGCAGCTGGCTGGGCTCTGGTTCCTTTTGGTTGAAGGTGACCCCATTTGGCTTCCGAAGGCTCTTGAAGTGGATCAAGGAAGAATACAACAATCCCCCCATTTACGTGACTGAGAATGGGATTTCAGAGCGTGTGGATGGGGGCTTTAATGATACCTGGCGAATACATTACCTAAAGAGTTACATCAATGAAGCTTTAAAAGGTATGTAGTTTTCTGTTCAAATCTACATGATTCCCAAGTGCTACGAAGATGCAGAGCAGAATTGATCTGATTGTTCCACCTTTCCCATTTCCTTGCAATGCAATGAGCATAACTGTTAGGGGGGACCTTGCTCATGTTATAGGTAAATATATCTAATGGAGAAATGATACCTGTTGCTGTTTTAAGAAAAGCTGCTGGAGGGGCTGAGTGGGTGGAAATGGTGGGGAAGCAAGTATTCAACCTTTTTCCACTTGCGATTTCTCTAAAACACATCCCCACGTGGCTCCTATTGAAAAACATGGATAGTAAAACAGCAGGTGTGGATTCAGAATGTTTTCCTCTCTGCTTCTTCACTTTTGAAAATTTTTACCTCTGAAATGTAAGCTCTTTCGATAGTTGTCTTAGAAATTGGTGGACTCTCCTTAGAACTTGGTTGTTTTGTTTCATTTTTTTAAAGCAGAGGATGGCTGGTAAGTTATCAACATATACTATGGATTTCCTGCCTCTGATGGACTAGCTGACCTTTCAGGTCCCTCAACTTTGTGATTGTTCATTAAAGATGTACTGGGGATTCATAATATGCATTTCTACTTAAAGCATACTTAACTCTTTGATGTCGACATTTGGTGAACTGGCCTTGAGGGGAATCCCTATCTTAATATGTCCAGAGGCTTGCAACATACATCAAAATGTTGTTGGCACTTAAAGGTAAATCACAAGGCAAAGTTTACAGATAGTATTGCTTAGTATACCTTGCTTAATGTATTTACGAAGCAACACTGATGCTGAAATTCTATGACATGTTTTGATGGTCGATTTCAACTATTGAACACGCGTTCAAGATTGCTATGGGAAGAATGCAAAGAGGGGAGCACACAGCTGGAAAGCAGAGCTCTCCTTTCTCGGCAGCAGCTTAAATATAGGATGCTGAGCCTGGATGTGTGTAGTAATTTCTCCAGCTATCATTTACACTGTCAGAACTACTACAGTGGAGGCAGGTGACAAAGAGAGGTGGGCTTAACTATTCTTTCCATCACAGCCTAAGCCATGGCTATACCTAGATGCCACCATGATAGCTATAGGACCGATTTGCTCAGCAACACACCCCGTGGCTTAAACACCCCATGGGCTGCTGGGGACGAGCAGGAGAGAGCACAAGTGGGGCTGCTGTTGCCTAGCATCCATGATCCACTCTTTTGTCGGTTGCATACAACAAACTGTATTAGCCCCCAAACCACCCAGTGGTCCAGGTTAGGACAATACATTAAGCAGCCCGTGAAGGAACTGGCCGTGCCCGGCTAGCTAAAAGTGGCAGGGCGATGCAGGTGGTGCTTCTGCTCTCTCCCACTCATGCACAGCAGCCCAAGCGTTGCTGTGTTGTACGAAGCATGGCATGCCAATGCTTTAGTTTTCCAAGCTCACAGCACTGTATGTGGCAATTTTCACCTCATGTTCTGAGGGAGTTTTCTATTGACAGTCAGAAGGAAAGGAATGAATTGATGGAGCCTGGTCAATACCCAAAAGCATTCTTTGCATATGACTATCCTGCTGAGCTCTATGGCATCCTTCCCTATACTGGTGCCTGCCAGGTGCTCTGGATTTCAATTCTCATCAGCTCCAGCCAGCATGACCTTTGCTCAGGAATTCTGGGAGCTAAAATATCTGGGTGGGATGGGGGGAATCTGGTTGCAGAAAGCTGGTCTATGGTATACCTTTGGCTCCAGAAACAAAGTAGATCCCACCAGCCCACTATAAATGTTCAGGAATAAATGTGTTTGTTTACTGTATTTATATCTTACCTTTTTTCCTTTCATGGAACTGAAGGTGGCTTACCTGGCTCCTCCCCCTTCTCAATCTAATCCTCAAACAGCCCTGTGAGGTAGGGTGGGCTGAGAGTTTGTGACTGGCCCAAAATCAGCCAGTGAAGTCCCTGGCTGAGTGGGGACTAGAACCCAGATCACCTGACTTCCAGTCCCACACTCTCATCCACATGCATGAATGTGTAAGAAAGGTAAGTCTATTCACTGACCACAATTCATTTTATGAGTCGCCCACCTGCCTGACAGCCTGGGTCAATGTCCTGTTATGCTGATTGATAGCAGCTGAAGTTCTGTAGCACACTGACATTAGAGCAGCAAACTATCATGAAAGCCAGTCCCATTAGATTTTATGGGACTTACTTTTGAGTAAACATGCATAGGACTACATTGTCAAGAACCTCTTTCCCATTTTGTACAGCAATTGTACGTGATGGCGTTGATCTGCGAGGCTACACTGTTTGGAGCTTGATGGACAACTTTGAATGGGCAGTTGGTTTTGCTGAAAGGTTTGGGTTATATTACACCAATTACACAGATCCCAATCTATCCAGAATCCCAAAGGCATCTTCAAAATATTATTCAACTATCATCCAATGTAATGGCTTTCCAGATCCAGCCAGTGGGCCTCATTTGTGTCTAGAGCCACAACCTGAAGGTAGGAATATTAGCATTGGAGGGTTAGGCAAATTCATGATAATGTTTAGTAAAAATACTTATGTAGCCAAAGAGAGTCTATATGCATAGATGTGTGTGTGTGTGTGTGCGCGCACACACAAACTATGGAGCAAGAATGGTTACCTGGGGGTGATGAGAAGCCTGAACATTTAATTCAAGCCATTGCTTTGGAAGGGTTTGCCAGTAAGTTTTAGTATAAAGCTGCATAGCTACTTCTTTGACAATGTTACTTCTAAGATGTTTTTTTTTTGTTCAGACTGCAGCTTAAGTGTGTGGACTTAAAAGGTTGCAAACCACATGGAAACGGCAACATTTCCCTGCTAAAAAACCAAAAAAGAAAAAAGCTCTCTTACACTGCTAGCAACTTTACTCACGGTTGTCTGAGAACTACCCAGTATACTGAGGCAGTGGGATGGAGCTAGCCTCAATGGGATGGTAGTCTTGACTACCTTATATCCCACTGAAATCAATGGGTCTGCTCTAAGAATGCCAAAGTCTGGATTCAACCCAGTGTCCTTGACATTGGCTGCTTGCATCCTGAGGCTGTAAGCCATCTTTCTCAAGCTCTGTTTTGGTTCTGATCTTCCTGGAGAATGCAGCTTGATTGCTCCAACAGAGCTTCAGCTAATGGGTGGTACAGAAATGTAATAAACCCTCCCCTGCTCCTCCTGCACAACTGAAGTGATCATGGTTGCAGTCCCAGTACATTAGGTATTGCTTCTGCCAATGAAGTTCACTTAAGAGCAAAGGCTTTCCTGCCACTTGCTTCCTTCTGGGGCCCCTGAGAGGGAAAATAAGGAATTTCCCCCCTTTTGAACCCAACTGTTTAGAAAGACATTCACCAATATTTTATACCCCACCTTTCTTCCTCTTACAAGGAACCCAAGGTGGCTTACAAGGTTCTCCCTCCTCTTCATTTTATTCTCACAACTACCCTGGGAGATAGCTTTGGGTTAGTGACTGGCCCCAAATCACCCAGTGAGCTTCACAGCGGAGTGGGGCCTAGAACACAGATACTCCTCAGTCCCAGTTCACAACACCAATCCTGTGAATTGTCATGGGAAGGCTCCCCCTCTTTACTTTAGGAGTATCAGGTACACACTGTTAGAAAACCAGTGGGAATGCTTCCCCTGAGACAGGTAGGATTGCTGATAAAACTAATGCCCACTGAATTATTTTTTTCCTATGATTGTTAGCCATGTGACTAACTTTTGTTTTGTTTTAGGTACCATTATGCCTGCTACTACTGTCTCACCTAACGAAACAACTGTTCAGGCAGTAAGGTTTTTGGGACTTGACTTGACTTCATCTCATGCAGAAACAGCCCTTTATGTGCTCTTTGTGCTACTCTTGCTGGCAGTACTAGGTCTTGTTGTTTTTTTGTATGTATATAAAAAGAATACCAAAAAAGGCCCACCAAAAATACCAGTCAATCGAAGTAAAATGTAAACTACACTATGTTTTGATTTATTTCCTAAAAAGACTTTGAATGGCATGAATTCTATGTGCTACTAAAAGTGAATGGTCTTATTTACATGGAGTATGTGGCAGGGCACAAAAAGCAGTTACGGAATGCCCACTGGTACAATCACTCTAGGTAGATTACAAAAGCCTTACTTGAGGGTGCCTGGAACCCAGCTCAGAAAGATGCAATTTAGTCTCTAAAAATCTGAATTAGGAAATATCTCTTATGTATACAGTCTTATACAGTATACATACAGTCCTATGTATTAAGCACCTGAGTGCTAGAACATGCCTATTTTCCTGCAATTGAACTAACATTTATACCTTAACATATCTGTTCCATTATGCAAATAAAGGTTATTTAGCTATGTGTGCCAAGTTGTCCTTTTAAATTGCCAAATGGAAGAATTGTAGAGGTAGCACAGATCACATATTTTTATCATTGTCATTAGAACCAGACACTGGACTGCATCCAGATTAGCAGATAGATGAGAGGAGGGGGGTAGGGGGGGAGTCTTTTTATAAGAGCAATTTTAGAGGGCATGGGGATCCTCTGAAGCAACACGAAAGGTTCTGAAGTAAGATCAAGTAAAAACTACCTCTGGCAGGAAGCGTGCCCTGGATTCTGGGGACTTTTCTAAAAGGAAAGAACCCTTTCATTTACAGAAAGAACAATCTAGAGTCAATCCAGTACATTTAAAAAAAACAGTCTTGACAGAAGTACAGTTAAGCAGGCTATCTGATGGAGAAATTACTGTCGACTTGTTTGGGAAAGGGCTCCTCTTCCCCCTGTAGCTCAGGTTCCATAGGTACTGGTATATCCAGATTTATCACAAGACACAAAGTTTACTAGTTGGGATGCGTGTGCTATCTCTTGCCCTCGCTGGGCAGTGGAAATCAAATCAGAAATATCTATGCCTTTAGCAATGTTCAGATTAGGCTACTGCAAAGGTTGCAGATGGGACTGTAACACATTACATGAGTATGCCTTTGCAGACTTCCTGCACAGTTCAAAATGCAGCTGGGATCAGCTTGCAAGTGACATATTTGAATTATGCTCAAAGTGTAGCTGCGTCCTTTTAAGGCCTTGTACTGCTTGCTGCTGTAAGGAGAACCTTCTTCAAGCAGCCTAGCCATTCATCAAGTTATCCTTAGAGACCCTTCCATGGGTACCTCTGAGATCAGTGGGTACCATCCCACTTCTGTGAGGTTTACATGGCACCTGATGACAATAATGACGGTGTCAGAGGAAGCTTATTTGGCCTGGCTTTTTCATATCATCTGGAATAGCTTTTACCATGCCTGTGATGTGCCTTCAACTTTTGCTGCTTTACCCTGTCTAAATTTTATTCTTATGCCTACATTTGGTTTAAAGGTTGATAACATCAACTGTTGATTTTTAAGAACTATATGCCCAAGACAGCTTACAGTACACAAAAGTAATACTATGAAATTAATGGTAAATGGGGAAAGCACTAATGAACTTTAGGCAATGATCTTACAGACTGCATCTTTTTTTGGAAAAACTTTATTTAATGCTTTGAGATTAAAAACTACCAGTATTATTTTGGAACTGCAGAAGCACTAAAGGAAAAAAAAATAAGTTATCCAATTTGCTAGGTTTATGCTTCTGCTAATCAGACTGGCTTGTTCTATAATCAGAGTTTCTGATTTGTTCCAAGATTTCTATAGATAAAAATTGCCTTCAGGTGACAACAGGGCTATTAAGTATGAAATTCAAAATTGTGAACGCTGATAGAAGATAGGGATTCTTTACATTCTTTGAGCTTTTGGCAGTACTTACTTTTGCAGTATACTGCTACACAACTGAATTAACACCTTATTCTATGTACTGTAACCAGGAATAAGGTGTAGTGCAGGCAGGATACCCATTCAAGCTCACTTTTATAGCAGAAGTTTAACTGAAATTAAATCAAATAAGAAAAAAATCAATGATTACTATGTACAGCTTGCCCAAACTACATTTGCTGGGTTGAGTTTCCATTCCATGTGTTGTTATCATCTTCTCCATCATCTTGAGTTCTCAAACGGTAGATTTTGCCTTCTTTTTTGAATTCTTCACCTCGTTTTTCCAGTACTCGTTTCCTAACTGCTTGTCTACACATGGAAGAAATGGTGTTTGAGAACAAGTTGTTACAGCAGCAATGTACATATACAATCTTTTCCGGTCATCAAGAAGTATAATTCATTCAACTCTAAGTCAATACGAGTCCTCTCTGAACCCCAATTCCAAAATTAATGGCGTATCTACAAAAACAGCAACCTTTGTGTAGGTTTCATTTTGCTCACCCTGTTTATCCTTTTCAATGAAGAAATTTAACAGAGGGATAAATGTATTACCCCACTGCAGTAAACACAAAGAATTTTGTGGTACATTAAAGATTAATAGATTATGACTAGGCTTGTGTGGACTATAGTAAGAAGTTTCCTTTTCAATTGTTCGTAAGATGGATTCAGATGAAGTAAGAGTTGCTCATCACTCCACATAATCACCTACTGCCTGTGATGACATACAGCACACTTCCTATCAATTCAGCTAAGACTATACTGATCATGGAACTCCAGGCAGTTATGCATCAGAAAGCATTTTCCATATCCTAGCACGAATCTTGGTCTCAAGCCCCGCTACACATGGCCAACAACCAAGGAAAGAAAAGAGCAGGGTGAGAGTACCTGCTTGGCTCCGCAGTATTAGACGCTGAGGTCTCTGAGTGCTCCTGCTGATGGTGCCTCGTGGTTGGCTGGGAAGGCGGAGTACTGGCAAACAAGAAATTGCTAATAAATCGCCAAACAGCTATCAGTGGATACAGAAGTGTGCCAAGGAATTTCCAGAAATCTCCACTAGAGGACTGTACAACTGCTGTGGCTGGCCTTCCTGCCTATATACAAGGAAACAAAGCAAGTTGGAAGTCATTCAAACAGAGCTGAAAACTGGACTCCAAAAGAAACGCCATATATTCACAGGGGCATTGACGTGTGTGCTAATCCCAAGAGGTCTTACTGCTTTTTGTGAAATGGCATAATTTGAATGTCTCAGTACTGCTCTCCCTTATTTCCCTTCTTCCTGCATATACTTACGGGCAACAAAACTACTGAAGCACTTGGGGCAAGCTCCAGGTCCAATAATTTTTTTCCATAATCATCTTTGGTAAATTCCCTTCTGGGAAACATTGTTGCCAATGAAAAATTACCATATGTGTTGCCAACTGTCTGTAACAAGAGAATAACCAGTTGCATTAAATAAGTACAACAGATTTATTTATAATATTAAGAAAATGGAAAGGACTTCCCATTTTCAGCCATGTTTATCCAAAGCAAATGCAATTTCACCTCAAATTAAGTAGTTTCAAAGGGAAGGAAAGCTTTGATTCACACAGAAGTACCTTTAGCTCACTAACCTCTCATCTTAATCCTCTGTTTTTTAAGGCACACGATCAATCAAATGTGGGATGTGCTAATCTGGGCTAACCTAGAGCTAAACTGGTGATCTCTGAAAGCACCCTAATTTATGGTCAGACCAAAACAACTATAAAATGTGTATAAATTTGTTTAACTGATATACTCTACAGCAAAATATAAATCATTTGATGAGTACAATAAATATTTGGCAACTTTAAAAAATGTACTTCTCAGATGCTGAGACCAAGGATAAATGGCCCCAAAAGGCCAATATAAAAGCCACTGAGCTATAGCTGCTTATGAAAAAAAATGCTCATCTTGCTCTCTTTTGCATTCCCAAACTTGCCCTATACTGCCCATCCAATGTTGCAGAAACGGATATCTGTTCACACAAGGGAACACCTCCTTTTCTTCTCCCTGCCATTGGGAGCAAATCTGGAAGCGCAGAGAACAACTGCCTGGGGGCGGGGGGGGGGGGTTGTTCTGCCAATGGTGGACAGTGCTTGTCCATACATTTCCCTTCTGTTCATGAAAGCTGCCAACTTCTCTCTTAAAATACCACAAGAAATACCTTACCATGGCTGTGCATAGTCTTTTCCTAATTAAAAAATACGACAGAGGTATGTTTACCTGTGCAGCAAATTGTCGAGCTTCTTCCAAGGGAGCATCTGAAGGGAAAGTATTAGTAAAGGAAGATCCATCTGGAAGACGAAACTGAATTCTTGCTATAGCACTGTGGAAAATATTTTGGGTTAATATAGGTTTTTGTTTAAGATCAAATATTCCCTTAGTAAATTCCTTTTCAATGTTTTGAAATACCAAATTACGTTATGATGGAGAAACTGATAATTTGCACTCACTTTAAGTTAGATGTTGAGTACTGTTAGATGTTGAGTTGAAACATGTTTAGCACCAGCAGTACAAGTAATGTGAAGAATATATTAGAAATATGTTCCCAGCTAAGAGAAAATGTAAGAAAGTGCTGGGCATGAGAAAGACAGGGAAGGTAAAGAAGAGGCAATGGATATGAGATGATAAAGTAGTGAGAATGGGATGAACTAGGATTACTTGTTCATAGACATGAAAGAATGTGTGAAGCTGCAGTACACAAAGGAGTTTTGTGCAAGATCAAAGGAGAGAGAAGATTCAAAATTGATGGTTGAAAAATAATTCACCTTCTTTCCCTCTGGGATGCTTCCTTCCTGGCTTCCATTTCAGCTTGCTTAGCCTGGAGAGCAGCAGCTTTTGCAGCTTCTGCTTCTTCCTTAGACCTTGCAAAGCGGGCTGCTCTTTCAGCACGATCCTTCATAAGAGAACAAATACATTAGCTACATGTTACTATGATTCTTCTTTTATACCAATTGAGGCTACTGAAAAAATGCAATTTTGCTTAGTAGAATTATCAGTGACAAATCACTACCAATTTCTATGTAACAGGAGTTTTTCAAGTTGGATTGGATCCAGGCATAGCCATGCTTAAAGCAGACCCACCAAAATTAATGGAAGTTAAGTCCATCATGACTTACTCAAGTCCTATTTATTCTGATGATCTACTTTACATATGACTAAGTCTGGAACCAACCCTTTATATTTAGTACAGCTGGAAAGGCAAAATTCAGTTTTATGTTTTATATTCATTATTAATGCTCCTCATGTGGTGAGGGAGACAACTGGTTCTCTGCATTTATTACATTCAGTGCATATACATCCTGAAATATTCATAGCATGAAATAGATGGAACAATGTCTTCTGTCATTCATACCTGAATGCAAGTACTATGTGAGCAAGTTACACTGAAATTCAGTGATCCATAGCTGACACCATGACATGACAGCAAAATAAGTAGTCTTGTGCTAGAAAAAGCTATGAGAAGAAACAGATGCTCTCAGCAGGAACACTCTTTTGAAGATGAACCCCTTCCCCCACAACCAGTATAGCCATCCAATTATATACCTATTGACAAGAAAGTATATTCAGGGTCAAAAATGTGGATGCATTAATTCCAACTAATCTACCTAATAAGTGACCATTTACCAATGCAATCTGCTGTCTGATGCGTTCTCTTGCAGCTTTGTCTTCAGCTTTTTCTCGGTTCCTCTCTTCCAATATTCGTTTCGTAAGCTCTTCTTCCTGTTTCCTTTTATACTCCAACATATCTTTCCCACTTTTTCTTCTTTCAATTTCTTTCTTTATTTCTTTCTAAATAAAAAGAGTATAGAACCTTCCCAGTCATTATGATAACTACTAAATACAGTATATGGATGTAGATTAACTTCTGGCCTTCTTTAAATAAGATTCTTGTTTAAGAATAAAACACTTGGCCACAAGGAGAAGGGCTTCTGGTCAGTGGCAACGCAACTGTGCCAGGTGCTGATGCTTGATACATTTCAGTGCCAGGTTTTTTTTTTTTTTTTTAAATTTGCCTGTTATTTTAATTGCTGAATGGAAGGCTCTGATTTCTAGGCTCTGATAGTAGTTTTATTATATAATGATTTAGTTTGCTGTGGATCAGTTGTTACTGTGTTGTTAACTTGGTTCACTGTGGTTTATTGTATTTGAATTTTTATAATCATTATGTATATGTTTTCGTCTAATGTTTCATGCTGTTTTAATTGTTGTACACCATTCTGAGAGTGTCTACTAAAGAGTGGTTTCTAAAAATACCTCTAAAAATCCAAACGATAGATAGATAGATAGATAGATAGATAGATAGATAGATAGATAGAGAGATAGATGGATGCAAAAAAAATTGGGCACTGGGAGTAAACACAAAAATCTTATCTGCAAATCTTTCTGTTCACAGAAGGGATGCAGACCCAGTGACGTCTCCACTTTGCTAACAGGATGCTCTGGTGAGCAGAAATGGGGGAGGGGGAGAGAAGAATAATTGCTTTTCAATTCCTCTTTCCTCCTGTTACGTTTCTAGCACCACTTCCAAAGCTGCCCCACAACCCTCTGCAGCAGGCTTTCGAGAACTGCAGAGAAAATCAGCATAGTGCACTTTGCCTCTTTTCATCCCACAGGAGTGTCTAGTTCACCTAGTTCCACTCTGCAGAACTCTGGATCTAACTCACCAAACGTCAATAAAACCGGTAGTAAAAATTTAACTATGCTCCTACCTGTTGTTCTTCTTTCTTTCTCTCTTCTCGTCTTTCTTCAAGTTTTTGTGTCACTCTTAATTTGGAAAAAAGAAACCATATCAAATCTAGCAAATAAAGTAAACTATATTCAACCCAAGATAATAAATATTACAGTCAAGTAATTTCACCATTTGAAATGTCTCTTGGGCAACAGTACAGTAACAAAAATACGTTTATTACAGAAGACAAGTCTTCATTTTGTGATACCAGAAATCATTTGTTGTAGAATATCCCTATCAGTACATGATAACTTTTTTGCCAAGATGTCTGACATTTGACTTTATGACACAAGCCACATCAAATTTCAGTTACCACTCTCTCATTTGAAAGAAATACCAAGAACAGACCAAAAATAGTATGCTGTGATTCTTTATAAGAAATTTTTAGAAGTAGAAACTGTTGTGCCAAAATTTAGTCAGTTTCAACTGATGATGTGACTCTTTTCCTTTCAAGTAAAATAAATCACTTTGCCCACATGAATCTAGTTCCTACTATTCTCAAACTTCCTGCCTTATTTTTGCCTTACTCCCATTTTTAACTTGACTTCTCTGTCAGGTATCATTCTTCTCTGGCATAAGTAAACCATTGCTTAAGCATCCCTAAAACACAGCTTATACTTCCGGTTCTTTTAACCTCTGAAGGAAATAAGGGCATACTGTTTATTTTCAGCATCTTAACTTAGATTGTCTGCCCACAAGCAGGAATGTCATTCACTTTACTTAAAGAACTGGTACGGTTTAGAAGCTCAAAAACTACTGGGTAATGATGCATGATGTTGACAACCTTCTCTTGCAGGCTGATGGATGTGGAAAGCTCATTACTACAGGCAGCCATGTGCTGCTAGTAACTATGCGTGAAGAATATGGTTTTTTGGGGGGTGGGGGGAGAGATCCATCCAATTTCCTCAGCTTAGCTACCTTGGACTCTGACCCAATTTCTGCCCTAAGCCCTCCTAGCACCAAACATTCATGCAAGTGAGTCCTGTTGCTCAGCTATAACTAGCCAGGCTGGATTTCACACATCGCATGTGTGCACCTGCTGTGCAAGCAGAATGACTTGCAGGCTTTGTGTACTTTGCACAAGAATGCAGTGCAACACATGGGTTCACTAGTGTCTGTGAACTCGATTTAGCTTGGCTAACTCCCCACACCAGGACCAGCGTACAAGAAAGAAAAGTGGTGGATGCGAGAGGTGGATCCACCAGGGCTAGGGAAGGATCAACTGGAGCCACGAAAACTGAGAAGTTTCAGGTGGCAGTTTCCAACACTGTCACATCTCATTCTTATCAGCTGATACATCACACAGTGACCCAGTTCACATGTAACAACAAAGCACAGTTTAATTAACCATGGCTTGTTGAATGGTGGCTTGTTGTTACATATACACCTGGAACTAACTACAAATAACCCATTACAAGATCATTGTTATTGCTAGGTTGTTAACTGTGGATTGATTGTCATTATCTGTGAACCTAGAATCATAGATTGTTTTGCCAGGCAGCGGGCAAGACCAGGAAAAAAAATAAACAACCCAAAGCTCTTTATATGCCACTACTGAAGTCCCATAAAAGCAGCCAAAAGAACAGGAAGACAGATAACCAGGGCTTTGCCTGGCTGTCTTTCCCTGGTTTAACTGTTTTCCACACAGACCCTGGCTAGAGGAAGAAACCAAGGATTAAAAACGCCATGGGTCAGCAGGTCATTAACTCATAACAAACATTCTCAATATACATGAATTTGAATTAATATCTGTATAAATATACTAATCTTTCACAAAGCTATATCACAACCAACATGTAATCCGAGGCACTAGAAGGTCTGCCAGGATAAATGTACCTTTCTACTTTAGTCTTAAGGTCATCAGTGGTCTGTGGTTCCACTCTGCTGTCATGCTCTTCATTTGCCTGGACTGAGTTGACTTCCGCTTAAGATTGTTTAGCATTCACAGAAGTGAAGAGAGAATGATGAGAGAAAACGAGTATTAAGTGTTTAGCACCATAAAAAGATACTTGTTTATTTATTTAAAACATTTGTATACAGCCCAATTGTGCCACAGCACCTCTGGGCATCTCACAATCACAAAATAAAAACACAATAAAGCCACTTACAACATATTAAAAAGTTATTAATTCGTTATATATCTTTATTTAGTTATAGATTTATGAATCATCTTTCATCCAGACAGATCTTCAGGGGACTTGTAATTAAAATATAGAATAAGTTAGAAAAGTTTTTGATTGTGAAAACTTTAAAACATCATCAACAATTTTAATTTAGAAAACAAGTAAGTGCTAATACATTAAAAATACCAAAAAGCTATATGGAACAAAAAGTATTATGAACCCACCTAAAGGTCCTGAAATTAATCTTACTGTGTTTGAAATAGTAATATTTCCAAAGCAAAGTTATTCACAAGTAAGAAGATACTACTACTTACCAGCTGAGGTTAAATGCGGTGTTTCAGGTTGTACTTCAACAGTCTCAGCTATTTGGGACTGAGAGTCTTCTGCGACACTATTTAAAGAGGAGGAACATGAAGCAGAGCTTTGTAATGCTTCATTTTTTAACATGTGCATCTAGGGAAGAAAGTAATGATGCTGTAAGTCACTGCTTAAGTACAGAAGATTGCTCTTGATGCCATTTTCTAAACTGAAATGTAAGCAACCGCTAGCTTTCCAAAGACAAAACTGCACGTTAGTAAATCTAGGCTGCAATTCTATGCAGAGCTACTCGGGAGTAAGTATCCATGAGCTTTGGCTGTTTCAGGTTGCTTCCCCCTCCAACATGCCATGCCAGCCGTGTTAACATGACAAACTGCACCCAAGTGAGTAATTAGGCAAATAATACCAGACGCCTGTTGCAGCTTAGTCAAGCATGTTTAAAGCATGGTGATCATATGTACCTGGCCAACAGAGTTTATGCTGGAGTAGATGCAGTTGGTCAATACTGCTAGGGTCAATCTTATACATTTTTATTTAGAATCACAATCCTAAATCTACTTAACCTCTGGGCCACTGAAATAAGACAATTTATTCTCAATAGGATCTCTCACCCTGTTTTGTAAGTAAGTCCTATCTGTCTTGTACAGTGACTATATATGGTGAAGAAAAAGGCTCTGCATCTTGTAAATGATGAGTTGCAAGAATGGTGTTCTGCTTAATTCTACCTTCAATTTTATATGTTGTAGAATTATGAATTTTATTACAAAATCCCAGACCATTTAATTGTAGAGTCAGAATACAAACTTCAACCAGTCAAGAAACCTCTAATATTATAATCAAATTAGTTCATAATAGAAAGGTTAGAGTACTCCCATATCAGGGGGGTTGCAGGGAAAGCAAGAATATTTAGCAAAACCTATATAGCACATGATGGAATACACATTGAATGGCAGCTAAAACTAAAACTGGAGCACTAGTCTAATCTTACAAAAAGCTCCTCTGATTACAAATGTGCTAGCAGTTTGCAAGAGAGAAAGAGGATGCTATCATCATAAAGCTGCCAGTAGTACATGCTGTGGATAATGCAATACAAATTAGGGATTATAATTCTAGTCTCAGAATTAACATGAGTTGAATTGTGAAGGGCTAAAAATCCCTCTGCTTACAACTTGCCCTTTCTTAATGTACTAGAAAACCTGGGGAAGCAATGAGTTTCAGGAAAAAGTCCATTTACTGGGCCCTACAAGAAAAAAAAAACTCTTCTTGCAACAGCTCTATATAGAATACTTGCAAATTCTTTTACACCAATCAAGACTGTATAACCTCGACAATTCTGTAGGCACACTATAGTACAGTGAGTTTTTTGGTCTTTTACTTGTTCAAACTATGACTTCTTAAAACAAGGCTTTGCTACACTGAAAAAACACGTGTCACCATTTGTTGTACCTGCTTGACTTTATGAATTCTTGTAATAAGTTCTTCTGCAGAAACACTGCCAGCAATTACTTCCAAGGGGACTCCATTGTCTCCTATGAAGAAACTGGATGGAACACATACCACAGGATCTATGCAGTAACAGTAAAGGACGATATATATCTCATTTGTTAGACAAAAGTACATTTTAAAAAGGAGCTTCATTAAGGGAGATGGGATTATGGGAAACAGGAAAGCAAAGGATATCATAAACTGGTGCTACCAACAGTAAAACGTCTGAAGTCGCAAGGCAAATTTAAATAGCAAATTAATTCTATCCCTTTTCTGGCACCTTGTCCTTCCTTCCAATGCTTAAGAAATCTGACATATCATTAGCCAGAAACTGAATACAGAATTTTCAGTTTCAGAATACAAATTAGAAGCAGTGCATATTAGTTCTGTTCTCAGAATATGTACCTCCTTTGTTTTTGAGAGATATGCCTCACCACAGTTTGAGATTAAATCCATTAAACAGGATTTACACATGTGGGTGGTACAACATTGGTCTGACCCAGCAAGGATCAGCAAGTCTGCATCTGGTACAGCTTTCCATTTCCATCAGTCAGCAAGATGCTTCCAGGAAGCTCATAAACAGGAATGTGAATGCAAGTGCTTTCCCCTGTGGTTTGTCATTAGCATCTGGTCCCTAGAAATAATCTGCTTCTGTACACAGAGGCTACATTTCAGTTACATGGCTAACAGATGCTGACTGACCTGTTCTATACAAATAGATCTAATCCTTTTATAGGCATCTAAGCTAGTGGCTAGCACTACACCTCATAGTAGTGAAGGCCGGCAAGCTGTTTGCATGAGATGGTGCTCAGGTGGCTGAACTGATTTTAATCAATGCCAGGAAGTTATATTGAAAATCTGGTGATTATTTAGGATGGATATGGACAGAAGAACCATGCTGAAACCATGTGGATGCTGTTTCACACAACTAACTTCCCACATGGAACAACATTAGGTTCTCAGTTTTGAAATCAAGTCACTATATAAACCATTCCTAACATGAGATTAGGGATTAAAAATCTGATACACCAGTAAGGAGGAAAAGGGTAAAAATTACTATCTAGTTTTGATGCCTCTCCATGGAAAATTTTAGATAAGATCAATATTTATTTAGTGCATGAAGTATTACACAATATATGCCCTGAGGCAGTAAATTTCCTGCCCTGAGGAATTTATAATCTAAAATTTGATACAGAGGGGGGAAAAAACAGAAGAAGGGGGCAAATAAATAGGGAAACAATATAGTTCTTTGTATTGCAAGTAAAAAGATGAAATAAATTCAGATGTGTGAACTAGGGGATTACGCCAAAGGCTTCAACAGAAAAGGTAAATTTTACAAAGGCCTTTAAATGAAGTAAAAAATGAAGTGGCATTGTATCAGGTGTTCTGGGAGGTAGTTTGAAGTATAACAAGTTACATTGGAGAAAGGAGCAAGAGATTTCATTGTGTGTATCCTATGAAAAGGTAGCTTAGAAAAGATGGCATTGGATTACAACTGCATTGGTCTATTTGTCTTGTCAAATTTGGAATAAATTACTTGTGCTCGCTGTAATACAAAATGCTTCCACTGATTTTATTCTGTTCAAAGGATACAAATTTGTGAGAACTGCAGGCAGGCTTCACTGTGTAAAAGAAAGCATTTGATTAACAAGTAGCTCTAATAATCTGAAATGTCATAATATAATCAGCGACATACCATCATGCATGTGACTGATAAAAACTTTGTAGAATCACAACAAATTAGTTTCTGTTTATTTGAAACAGTGTACTAGGATCAAGCAATACAATACTACAGTAATACAATATGAAAACCCAGGATTGATAGTCTACGTGTAATTGACATATGCTTGAAACACCAGAGAAAATTTTTCTGAGAAAGGTAACTATAGCACATTGACCTGCTGTATTATATCAGCTTAGAACAGCCTCACCTCTTTAAAATATCAGGCAAAGATAAGATAGAAGGAAGAACTGTACCTCATTTGAGTGCAAACCACATGTTACAAACTTGGGTCAACCCCTCATCTTTGAAAATTATCAGGCAATGTCAAGGAGATAAGCAAAAGTGGGAAAATGTTGCATACATATGCACATTTTGCTTAATTTTTCTTGCCTGACATTTCTATATTTAAGATCACTTGGAAAGGAAGAAGATGATTTTTAATAGTGGGAAAAAGACTTTCCACCCTTTCTCAAAATGGGCTACCTTTTGAGTGGTTAGCCCTCCAAATAACTATATTTATTTTAGCTTTTCATTTTACTGAGTGAAAGGATGTGTTTGTCATATCTCATTTTGCTAACAGAAGCAGCAGGAATGTAAAAATAATAGTGCCCATTATTCCGGTTGCATACAATTCAGTAAATTTTACCAAAGTTTAGGTCTTTGCAAAACACCAAAATCTTGATTATTATTAACAAAAAAGATGAATATGTCAAACCTTTGAGTATTAATTTTAATAGCCACAAAGCCATCTGTTGTTGCCTCTGTCACCTTCTCGTTCTCCCAGCTGGCAGCCATCTCTGTGGATTGTTCATCATCTCCTATGAAAAGCAACAAGTTTTGTTTTCCCATAGACAGAAATATAAATTAATCACAAATTGCCATGTACTGGAAATGCAATCATGTGGGAAAATATATTCATGACTTCATGACAAGAATAATCATATAATTGGGATTGACTCAAATGTAAAATAACCTTTAAACGAAACCAAACACACTCACTTTTAAAAAACCAGAACAAAAAGCATCACAAGCAGACAGTGGGTACTGGAAATGCACAAGTATCTCCAGATAAATTTTCCCTAATGTGATGTCATGCAGCTGCTTTGGAATTAAGCTCCCATCAACCCAAGCAAGGAAGGGCAATAGACAGGAATGTTGGGACTTACGACCCATGTTTTAATCTAGAAACATAGGATGGTTTAACTTAGTGTCTTGCAATGGTAGTGGCTTGGACCTGATGGCCTTCTGGTCCTTTCCAACTCTAATTATTCTATGATTCTAATATCTGGAGAGTGCCAGATTTTGAAAATGTCCTGCAAATGACCCAGACATAAGAGATAGACCTCACATTGCAAACAGGAGAAAAATTCAGTCTCACAAGATAAATATGCAGTGCAGTACAAAACAAATAAATCTCACATATTGGTTTTCATTAAGACATTCTTCACTTATAAGTTTGGGTATAATGCAAGAAACATGTTTGAAAATTACATCAATATACAAAAGCTGCAATAGGTTCTCTGTGCTTATTATTTTGTTGGATCCTTAACAAGTTATCATTTAAGATAGAAAGGTAATACTAAAAGAACATGGGGGGGAAGATTCACAAATAATTGGGGGGGGGCATAGTTTTAACTATTCCCAATCCTGTCCTGAGCCTTCCCTGTACCATGTAGGAATTTCTTTTTAAGCTCATGCAATGCATATCTTGTATATTCAATATTATTGCATTGTTAGGGGTTCAAACAGATAATTATTCTCCCATCCTTCTGCTATTTCCTTATTTATTTTCAATGTCATATTCTTAGGATAACAATCAAAATTCTTCTTTGGTTTAATGTAAATCGATTACTGACATGGGTCACGCAACATGACAAACCATCATGGGTAACTATGGTAGGCTGTCAAGACATTTGTTTCTTGCTTGTTTCCCAGACACTTTCTTGCACAATGGCTTAATTTTAAGCAACAAGTCACCCTAATTATCCATATGGCTGGTCCATGATAGCTGTTGCATTGGCCAAATACAGGAGAGCAATTTCATCATTTGATACCAAAGTCGAGGACATGGAATAAAGTCAACTATGGAATGCGCTCCCTAGAGAGGTCCGCCTGGCGCTGTCATTATATGTTTTTCAGCGCCAGGTCAAGAACTTTTTATTTGGCAAATATTTTAACACATAGTAATCTTAATTGTAAATGACTTTAATTTATTTTAAATGATGCTCAGTGTGGAATAGTTAATTTATCTTATTTTATTGAAGTTTGAAATAATGTTGTAAGCCATCCAGAGACGACAGTAATGGACGGCATACAAATTTTTAACTAACTAACTAACTAAAATAATCAATTCAAGTTGCAACAACCCAGATTTAGGTTAGATATCAGGAAAAGTTTTCTTACTGTCAGAACAATAGGACACTGGAACCTAGAGAGGTGGTGGGCTCTCCCACACTAGACACATTCAGAAAGAAACTAGACATCCCAGTGGGATGGTGTAAATGGGTGTCCTGCAACAGCAGGTTGGACCCAATGGCCTTCATGGCCCCTTCCAACTCGATTATTCCATGATTCTGTGATCATGAATAGCAACGATCTGCTAATAAGCAAGAATGCCAAAAAACCTGGCCATTCTTCACAATTTTGCCCTTGCTATCACCAGATATGATCTCTCTACAGCAATTTAATGATTCTATGGAAGTGAGATCCTAACGCTTTTAAAAGAAATATATCCTAGAAGGTCAAGTTACTAATGTACTCTTGAAATGCAAAATATCAAAACCTAAAGATGTGGGCCACAATCCAGGGAACTATCTAAGCAGTTCTGTGCATCCAGAAAGGCTCTGGATTTATTTTCTAACAGGCAAAGCAAAGGTGGAAGTTTTGAAAATTGTTTCAGATTTAATAAGGAGCATTTCTGTTCAGAGGTCCTGAACACAGAACAAGTTCACACAATCACCATACAATATGCCCTAACTATCAGAGGGTTGTTTCCCCCCCAAACAAGCCAAGGCTTCTGGTTCAGAAAACACAACAAGCTGCACCCTGGAGGATAATTAGGCAAATGGCACCTGGCATGTATCATGGCTTAAACAAGTCTCTGTGGCCTACTGAAGGTGCAAAGATAGGCTAATGATTAGATTGTAGCCACAGACTAAATATAAAAACTAAAGCTCATCATAGGAAATACATTTGATTGTTCCACATTATGAGCAACTGCAGAAATTATCTGAAATTGCCAGGAATCTGCAGCCACTTCCAGTAGATTCAGGGGAGAGGCAATGTGGCCCTCAAGCTCCTTAAAGTTGCTTGCACTACATAAGCTATTAAACATCCTTCAACCCCCTCTCCACAACAGTCACCAATGCGGAGTCCAACATATCAAACAAAACAATGTAAAATCATAAAAACACAATAAAACAACTAAAACGATTTAACAGGCCAAATAAAAAGATGCAACTTTAAAAAAGAGAGAACAGACTCAAATTTTTGAACTATATAACTATATGCCATACAGTTTAAGAATTATATAGGAAAGAACCCCATATCCACCATTTAGTAAACTGTGCATTAGAATATGTGAGATTGTTTATTTCATAGAACATAAAGTGGTGGAGATTTTTATTCTGATTAGCCTTTGAAAGTTTGTTTAAAAATCTACCAAGAGCTACACATGCATATATTAAGTACCATTTCATGTATAGGCCACTGATAACCTATGGTGTAAAATTCTTAATACAAACTAAATCTTAGGTATTATGTTTGATATGGAACAACTGAAAACCAGCAACACTACCCCATGTATGTAAGCAGGTCACTACCATTTTCAGCAACGATAGGGAAAAGTGTCCCAGTAAGGAATGGACCTGTAAATCAGTGCCCAAATTAGTCAGCTTCATTGCGAATCTATTAAGCAAATATTCAATGTGCCTGCTGCCTTACAGATTAGAGAGCTATGCTATAAACTTCCAAAACATCAAGACTGGCACTGGGTCTTTTGTACTTCTGTACAATGGTTTTGCAACTGTGTACTTATTATGAACAGTAGTTCCTCCTCCTTTCAGCAAGATACACAATGCAGACAGATTATTCTGCATTCAGGTAAAAGGTGTAACACTTCCAGCAACAGTATACAGTACATGTTGTCATATTTGCCTTACTTTACTGCTCAAGTGGAAGAAAAAAAGTGGGATGGATAGGTTAGCCTCAAATATGTCTGCTTCCCACTGCCACCCCAAAATAGGGTTGGCATCCTTCCCCATTTTGAGTATTATCATATATACTGTAGCAGGTTCATCTGCATCAAACATCATGTATTGCATGCTCTCTTGATACCTTTAAGACAGAGGATACTGTCAGTAAAAATACTGAAACAAGAATTCTTTTTACTACCAGCTCCTCCTTACTTTATTTTCAGGGTAGAAGTGATGTTCTGTGGCTGCTTCTTGCACAGGCCAAGCAAGAGGAGACTAAATTGTGACCGCTCCTCATTTTCTCAAGTTTCTAGAATGGCTGAAAAGGCATAGAAAGGTGGTAGAGCATGGATGCCTTCCACATAACCAGATGTTACTTCCTGAACTACACACTTGCATGATAAATTAGAACTTGGCCTGAAAAAGTCCAACAGAATTCAGCAAACTTTGAACATGTGTACCTATTAGAGAAGAAATCTTTGAAAAAACACATTTTCATTATTTTTTCCACAGGATAATCTCCGTAAGGACAAAAACTTTTAGGAAACTGTGATAAAATTAAGCTTTAATTTTTTAAAGCAGGTATTCTCAAACTACAGTTTAAAATTGAAGCAGAGAAAGAATGACAATGAATATAGTGGCACAGCATCATATGTTCAGCCACCCAAGCTGTAAAATCAAAGTATGTTGATCCAATTTAATACATTTTCCTCATTAGCTTTCCATCTGATTTTGAGCAATGAACTTGGGTTATCTCATCACTATCTCATTGACTTCAGAGCCCTTACAAATGCACTTGGGCGGGGGAGCGGGATAGATAATCACAAGTACAGACACTTGATAAAGCACATTAGAATGAGAACAGGAAAGTGATGCTTTTTCTAATGATCTTGTCAATAGGGTAACTGATATCATTGAACTCTGCTTAAAAACAACATTGTTGTATTGATAGAGGCAGAGAAGAGTAGAAAATAGCTGAGCCAAGTCAATTGTCAGCACAGCCACAATCTGCACACTCTAAAATGATTTCTCTAGAGAGATCACAGAGAGAAAAATAAAGCGCTCAAGGATGTTGATTTCCCAAAGGGATGTTCAGCATGTGACGTGAAATACAGAGGACATGCTGGAAACATTTCATGGACAAGGTGACTTCAGCCAATTTCTACAGGCTATCAGTTACAACAATGTTGTATAATTTTTTAAAAATGTTCTCAGTTCTTAAAATAACATGTGTCCCACCACTTCTAGATATTCAGAACTTTGCACCATAGTTTTGTTATCATTGTTCCTTGTTAACCACTATTCTGAAGTCTGGCAATTTTTACTTCAAGGATGATGACAGATCTTTCAGGATTTTATCCTCTTCAATGCATTTTGTTAAGATCTGAACACAGGTCAGAACTTAATATCAATCTAATAAAGATGGTCTCAATCGTTGGAATTATTTATTGTATTTATATCCTAACCTTCCTTTAGGAACCACTGTTGTGCAAGCAACTGTATACTGTGAATTAAACAGTGAAACTGTGCCAGTTAGTGACAACTGTGTGGCTAGCTGCGAATCCCTGCCAAGTACAATATAGGTAAGCCATCACTATCAACTTTCAATAAAAACAAAACAAAGACAGCCCTGGACATCACTCATTTCTAAATGTCTGAGAATCTAGTAAGTAAAACATCTGAGAGCTAGATGGGGGTGGAAGACTGTAGATATGCCCCCCCCCCATAAAAAAGACTATGTCCCAAGTTGCTCTTCAGAGAACTTCATGTGTTTATCACCAAGATCTGAAAGGATTTGTGTGTTTAGTTGAACCAATTTATAAAGCTCTGTGTCTTACTGGATTTCTCAATCATGGGTAAGATTAAGGCTAATTACTAAAAATCAACCAATACACCAGAATGGGAATTGGAAACCACTGGATTCAGCATTTTCCTGGTTGGTCCACTCCCTCTTGTCCTTGCCTTATTTGCTGTAGCCAAGCAAGCTATTAAAGAAGGCTCACTTGCCTTCTATGCTGATAAAAAGAGGCTTCTCCTCCTGCACAACCAACATAGAAACACAATGGGCTGTCACAGGCAGAATAGATTACTTTGCTCCTCTTCTTAGCTTCTCCACATGATACTGCCAATATCAGCCAACTGTGTTTCCAGGCTGGGTAGGAGAAATGGAAATCTTTTTCTTCCCACCTAGCATGGAAACCAAGAGTGTTGCCAAAGGAGGGAGAGAGTGATATGTCCCTTCTGTAACAGCCCACTACATTTCTGTGCTGGGCAGGGAGGAACAGAAACCTCTTTCTCTCCATCCAGAATGGAGGCCAAACAGAAAGGAGAAAAGGGTATGAGAAAGAAAACAGAGCAGCAGAAGGAAAACCAAGTAGCGTTTCTACCCATTTTTCCTCAAGCCCTGCCCACAGCCACTGTTGAGTGTCTTAAATGATTATCTTGGAGGAAATGCGGCCGTCAACACAAAAAAAGTTACTGGCCCTTAAAAGTTATTAATACACAGATTTCTAAAGATTTGTGTAAGTGCTGAAGTTCTATTAATAGACAGCAAATTTATTTCCTGCAGGACTTAAGTAAAAGAGAGGTAATTCCAAAGATACAAGAAGTCTGTTTGTTAGGTACACTGAAGTTTATGCATATCATAAATGTTCAGGTTGTATTTATATGTCCCTTTTTGCAGAACAATTGGTGCAGTTTGCAGTGCAAGCTGAACATAGCAAATTACTGTTTCACAAATAATCAGTGTCACTACTAGCATGGTACTGTCTGCGCTAAAAATAGTTTCCATTAATTTGACTACCTGCAATTATTTATGCAGAAACAAAGCACTTTCTGACAACTTTTAAAAGAATACTGTTAAGATGGCTGAGTGCCACTTGGTAGCTACAGGATAATCTGTCATTTAGTGCCTATAGGAAGGCTTCAACAATACTGTTAATCCCAGTGTCACCACCTCTCTGTGGCTGGTTGAAATCCTAGATAAAAGGCTTGTAATGAAGCTAGGCTTAACTGCATGTCAAAAGCTGAAAACTGAAGTACAGCTCAGATGATTCAAACCAGGAGAAGGCAACTTGCAGCTGCTCCCACACTTGTGGCTACCACTCCACAAAAATCACTTGCATGTATTCTACTGGGGAAAAAGGAATGTGGGGATGCAGCTACTAGATTCAGGAGGGATAATGGAAGTTTCCTGCACTGGTTTATCTGAGTACCATCTCAGAAGCTTTTAAACTATCTACTGAACAGCTTACCATCTCTATATTCATCTTTAGTATAGCACAAATGAGGGGACTCTGAGTAGCTGTCCCAAAGACAGCAACCAAAATACTTTCAAAATAGTCTGGTGGCATAATTAAGTGGAATGACTGTATACTATAATTAAAATAGAGAAAATGGAATTAATGCTTTAAATAAACAAACACAAATCTGTCTGCAGCATCTTGTGTGTTTGACCTCTGTACATATTATATAAGAAGTTTTTAATGGGCAGGAGCCCCTCCCACATAGACCTGGAATAGGAAGGGGGGGCTCCTGCCCAAATGAATGCGTACCTATAGAACCTTTTTGACAACAGGCTCACTGCTAGTGCAGAGCCCGTATGTGTGCTGCAGAGACCACAAAGAAGCACCACCAATCACTTCCATAACAAGTGAACATTTCACTGTAACTAAGGTGCATATCTTAGTTAAACTGACTTTCTATATGCATCCAGTAAATCTATGAACTATGAACTAGTCTGTAAATTAATCTTATTTAAGAATAAACTTCTCAACTGAATAATACACACTATCAGATATACTGAAAAAAATCTATTAAACTATAATCTCTTTCTTGTCTCACTGATTGCTTTGAGATAGTTAAGAACATGCTTATTTTCTTCCACTAAAATTAATTCACTTTAAAGTTTCTACCACTGATTAAATTCTGCCTGCTTTGGAAAAAATAAAAGTAAATTATTTCAATAAGTATATGGTTACTGTGAATATGTACGTTTGTAGCTCTATAAGAAATTAATCTTGTTTCTAATACAGAATACATGATGGGTGAAAGAAGGAACCTGTAGTCACTTTAATGCTGGTGTTGACAAAAAGTCATCTATGCACAGTGACAGCAGTTAATCTGCCACTTTCTTCATTAACAAAATTTAATGCTTAAAATGGCAATCCTTGCGATTACACACTAAATAGTTCTATATACATGACCTATCAGTAATAGTAATAGAATTATTACCATTAAAGTGGGAATGTTAAGAAACAGAATTGCACAAAGAGGTGAAAAGAACAACGAATTATACATTTCTAATAGGCATGTGCATGATCAGATACCTAGATTTTTCCACCTGTGGCAAAATAAGTTCCAGAAGGTATGATCAAACAGAATGGAGGGGGAGAGTGAGAGACTAAAAGTTAAAAGAAATACATAAAATAAGTTTGAGTAAATTCACAAAATTAGACAGGAAACATGTGTCTATATCAGACATGGGAAAAGGAGAAGATTGTATGGAATAGATATAAAATCAGTTATTGCAATTCATGAACGTTCAGGATACTGCAAGATAAAAAATGAGTAAAAATAGTATTAGGAGTATTATAAAGACCCTACTAAAGTTATTAGCTAGGAAATATGACATAACTATGAAACAATCAAATCATTATTGCCTTAAACTGTATTCCCATAGATTGTGACTTGTGATGGGCTCTCAAGTGACTTGCCATCTGTCCAGAAACCAAGCCTACTAGGCTCAGGAAGTAACTGGATGTAGTAATAATTTTGCATATGCTATGCAGACCCATCAATCTTATCTCCTGAAGCCCAGGTGATCAAAGGGAGCTATTTACCTTGCAGGGAAGAGCCCATATCAGCTTTCCCCAGCCTGCTGCCCTCGAGATGCATTGGACTACAGTTCCTATCAATCTCACCCCACGCGGTCAATTGTCGCTCCTGATGGGAATAGTAGTCCAAGCTATCTCAAGGGCACCAGGTTCGGGGAAGATTGTTTAAAGCTGAACTGGTTAACAAGCAGCAGAGAGCGCATGATCTTTATGCGGAAGCGCGAATGTTTGGGCATCGCCAGTGAGGCGGCTCTCGGGGATAACCCCTCTCTCCCTCGGGCCCTGGAAAGCCCTGTCCACACGGACAGGGTCTAGCGGCCTGGCTGTGCGGATAAGGCCGCTTCCTAGGTCTTTTGACAGACGGAAGGAAGGATGTCACCTGAGGCAGAGCCCCGTTGTGGGTCGGCGGCGGAGTAAGGGGGCGGTGGAGGGGCCAAGAGAAGCCTACAGGAAAGCAGTCCGCGGAAGCCACGTTAGGAAAACACGGACGGGCCCGTACCTTCCACGAACACCACGAACACCGCGCTGCGCTGCTTGGCGGTGGCGATAGCAGCCGGGATGGTGCCAGGGAACCACAACATAATGGCGGCGGGTCCGTGCGCGGAGGAGGATCAGAAATAGTAGCTGGAGGGGGGGGGGTCACTCCTCGCTCCGTTGCCTTCCCCTCCGCTGCCCAGCAGTCCGTTTGCCTGGGCGCGCTACGCGCATGCGCGTCATAAACGTCAGTCTCGCCACGGACGCGATGACTCGCAATTCACACCCTAAGCACCGCCCTTCCCGCTGAGCTTTTTTCCTTCTCTCTTCCGGAATGGGGCGAAGGGCGCATGCGCCAAAAAGGCGGAAACCTGTATCTGAAGAAGCTAACGGAGCTGAAAGGGTCGTGTCTAATAATGCTGACGAAGTAAACCTGACTACGATTGACGCCTGCACATTCCACAGTATTCAGGCAGTATTTGATAGTGGCAGATTCGCAGAGAAGAACGAGGTTTGAATGGCGAGCGGCGTTGTGAGCATCGAGGCGCTGCTGACGAATGTGATCTCGTTAAACTTTGGTATTATGCCATTTGGTTTTGATTCAGTGCAGCACACGTACTGTATTCTCGCGTCACTGAGAGTAGTCCACAACCCATTCCCAAAAGCAAGGCCTTTGTGCATTTATCAGTTGCATGATAGGCAGGCGGGCAAAAAGTAAGAATAAAAATCCAACAGGTGAATTTTCCCCTTCAATCGCAGTTTCCAAAAAGTAGCCCTGCCAGAAATGATTGGCAACCCTATTCCCGATCAACAGGTGCACATACAGTACTTGCACACCAACCTGGGATTTATTATTTTGTACAATTTAAGGGTGATATGTATATATGCACACACACGTGCGCACACACGAAGCAAAATTGTTATTACCTGCTGTCGTCTCTGACTTATGGTGACTCTAAACGAGAGCCTTCCAAAATGTCTTTGACAGCCCTGCTCATCTCTTGTAAACTCAATGTTGTGGCTTCTTTTATGGAACTTGTCCATCTCATATTTAGTCTTTCTCTTCTTCTTCTGCCTTCAACGTTCGTTAGCACATTGACTTCTCCAGTCACTCTTGTCCTCTCATGATGTTTTTGGAAAGTATGACAGCCTTGATTTTTGCTTCAGGAGAGAGTTTGGCTTGATTTAATCTAGGTGAACTTGTTCGTGCTTCTTGTTGGTCCAGGGTATTTGCCAAACTCTCCTCTAGCACCATGAAGTTGCAGTTGTGTTAGAGATCGTTATGGCTAGCTTTATTGTTAGGCAAACTGAGGTTTGATATAAGGAGCAGTAGCTGCATTTCAAGATATTTTATTATGTAATAAGTTGTTGTTGTGGTGGTTGTTATAAAAACAGGGTACCCTAGAGAGCCAGTGTGGTGTAGTGGTTAAGAGCCTGGGACTGGGACTCAGACGATCTGAGTTCTAGTCCCCGCTCGGCCATGGAGCCAACTGGGTGACTTTGGGCCAGTCACAGACTCTTAGCCCAAGCTACCTCACAGGGTTGTTGTTGTGGGGATAAGATGGAGGAGGAGAATGATGTAAGCTGCCTTGAGCCCTTTGTAGGAAAAAGGCAGGATATAAATCGAAAAATAAATAAATAGATAGATAAATGTAGCAAGAAATATTTCAGAAAGAAGCATTCACAAACCCATAGGACATATTGCTCCTTATAGCCAGTAGTTATGCCTAGGTCCACCCCAGTTCCCTGGATTTAGGGAATGTTACATATCTTTGGCTCCATGGGAAGAGAAGATAGGGGGCATTACATTTGCTCTGAAATTAAATCTTCCTTTAAAGCCAGTTCAGTGCACATTCTGGGAATCCAGCTTGACTAGGGTTGGGAGAATGCATCATTTGCTGCTCTACTCAAGCAGCAAAATGCCTTGAGTTGGCCTTGTGAATCACATGATCCTACAATGTAAAGCAGCTGTGAAAAAGGGCAAATGCCATTTTGGGGTACATCAATCAAAGCATTACTTCCAAATCACAAGATGTAATAGTTCCCCTATACTCTTCACTAGTACAGTGGTACCTCAACTCACAAATGCCTCAGTTCACGACCAAATTGGGTAGCGAACAGAAATTTAAGAAAAATTTTTCCTCAGCTCGCGAACTCCGTATCAGGTACCAATTGCAATTGCACCTGTCTCCCCCCACCCAAGCGTGCCTGCAATTGTGCCCGTCTCCCCCCCACACCCAGCATTCCTGCGATCGTGCCTATCTTCCTTGTGATTAAAAAAAATATTTACAAAATGGATAAACTTTATTTACATTGAACCTTACAGGAAAATTTGACTTGACTCACAACCAATTTGGGTTGTGACCAGAGTTGTGGAATGGATTAAGTTTGTGAGCCAAGGTACCACTGTAGTCCTCTTGTAGAATATTTTGTCCAGTTCAGAGCACCAGGACTTAAGAAAGATGCAGAAAAATTAGAAAGGGTCCAGTGGAGGGCAAAAAAAAAAAAAAAATGAACCAGAATTTGAAAACACTTCCCTGTGAGGAGAGGCTAAGAGAACTGGGCATGTTCAGCCTTGAGAAGAAAAGACTGAGGGGGGCTTGATGTTCCCCTATAACTACCTCAAAGGCTGTCAGAAAAAGGAAGGTAAAGATCTTTTCTTGCTGATGCCAGAGTGCAGAACACGGAATAATCAATTCAAGTTGCGACAATCCAGATTCAGGCTGGATATCAGGAAAAGGTTCCTCACTGTCAGAGCAATACAAAGTGGAACCAGCTGCCTAGAGAGGTGGTGGGCTCTCCCAGAGACATTCAAAAGAAACTGGACAGCCGTCTGAATGGGATGGTGTAAATTGGTGTCCTGCAATGGCAGGAGATTGGACCCGATGGCCTTCATGGCTCCTTCCAACTCTACTATTCTATGGTATGATTCTATATTTTTCACATTTGTTTAAAGTTTCTTCACTATCTTTGACTCTCACAAGAGAGTTCAAACATTTTTAAAATTCTCCCTCCCACAGTCATTCTAGTCACTTAGCAAATTGAAGTTGGATGCATTTCACATGTTTCATGATGCCAACTGATACGTAGTCACGTAAGAGTAATTCCTATTGAAGTAAGATTTCCTTCTGAATTTTGTTGTTCAGTCACAAAGTCGTGCCCAGCCCATCACAACCCAAGAACAACATTCCTCCAGGCTCTCCTGTCCTCTACCATCCTTTGGATTCCACCCATGCCCACACCCACTTCCCCCAGCTCATCCTCTGCCGTCCCCTTCTCCTTTTGCTGTCAATCGTTCCCATTCTTCTGAATGGACATACATAAAATAGCATGGTAAGATCTGCTTGCTGTTTCAATAATACATTGTTTAATGTTGCTTGTAGTTCTGTTTTTTAAATTTATTTGACTTAAATGCAGGCTAATATAAAATGTTCTAAGTAAATAAAAGAAACATTCATGTCACCAACCAGGTTTATTAGTTTCCTAATATCAAATATCCAATTCTCTGCTGAGAGTGGCAGATAAAACACATTCTTTTTGTGGCTCAGAAGAACCAGATAAAAATAAAGTAATGGTAGATGGGAGGATGGCTCCAACGCCCTAGATTAAGAGAACTGAAGTGGATCCAAGCATAAGTATCTTATTAGAATGTATGGCTTGACCTCTGGGCTTCTGCATGCTTCCTCCCCATTGTTTTGTTTTATTCCATTTATCTCTGAGGAGCTATCATTTCTAGCCCTGCAAGTGAGGTATAACTATAACCAAAACCAAAATTTCTGCTTAATTGACCAAGTGTCCACAAGACCAAACCACAATAAACAATATCAATGATCCATTGTCACAATCCAATAAGATACTTTATGAAAATGGCATTCATACATATTGTGTACTAAAAAAAATCCTTTCCCAAGTTTTAAAGTTCTTTAAAATCAAAGAGTATTTCATGATTATACTGATATTTCTTTTCTTCCCCACTGAAGTTTCTCACTATCCTAAACATTTTGCTGCCTAACATGATATAGTTATGCCGATCCATTATCCAAACTGACAAGCAGAAATAGTTGCTTAGTCACATTGCTGAATTAATGAATAGGTTTGGTCAGCACTTAAGAACTCTTTATTGAGTTCTATATAAGATACAAAGGAACATAACAAGCGTATATGTATATATGTACATATACGACAAGAACAAAAAAGTAGCCCTGCGGTATCAGATCAAAGTCCCATCTAGTCTAGTATTACATACAGCCAGAAACGTGGCTTCTAGATTGGGAGAGGTGTTGGTACCAATCTAAGCCTTTGGTGTGCCTGCAACTGGAGTACTGTGTCCAATTCTGGGGTCCACATTTCAAGAAGGACATAGCAAGGTTTGAATCAGTTCAGCACAAGGTCACAAGGATGGTAGCCAGATTGGGGGGAGGGGGGATGCCATCTGAGATGAGGTCGAGGGAATTGGCTCTTTTCAGCTTGGAGGAGACTCTGAGGGGATCTTATAGTATGTGAAGGGGCATCACATGGTAGAGGGTTGTGACTTGTTTTCCCCTGCAGTGGAGGGAAGGATGCAATCCAGTGGGGCAAAGCTAAAGGAACTGGTTTCAGGTTGGATGTCAGGAAGTACTTCCTGATGGTTAGCACCCTTGATATGGAAAGGGCTTCCATGGGGGGGGGGGTCTCATCAGTGAGGGTGTTTAAGTAAAGATTGGACAAGCACATGTTGGACATTACACAAGTGGTGCCAGCTTGTGCCAGGGGTCAGGTTAGATGGCCCAGGAGGCCCCTTCTGACTCGCTATGTTTTTGTTTCTACATTCCCAGATAAACCAATGGGAAAACCACAGGAAGGACATGAGCAACAAAATCTAGTTACATTGCTCAGGAACTGGTGCTTATAGAGGTGTACTGCCTTCAACAGGGGCAATACATAACCATCCCAGCTACTAGCTATTGATAACCGAACTCTCCATGCATTTGTCTAATCCTCTTTTGAAGCCATTCAAGTTAGCAGGCTTCACTACATGTTGTAATTTGTGGTACTACATTACATACATTATGTGTTGTGTGGTAGTACTTCTTAAAATAATCTGAATCTCCCTTTTTTTCTGGTCAGGTAACCCTTCCTCTCTATATTCTGTCTGAGCCATACACTGAGAGCTTCCACTTTGCCTCTCCAACTGGCATGTAATGGGCAGCATTTCAAATAAATCTACCTTGTATTCCTTGACTTTC